GAGGACAGTCTTGAAAACAGATCAAACACTTTAAAAATAAATATTGTACTGTGGACAGGTGGAATCACGGCTGATATATGGTGTGTTTTTGGGGTTGGTCCACACTTTGTTTTGTAAAATTTGTATATCGCTACTTCAAAGTTGGGAACCAACTCCCCAGAAGTCGAAACTTGTGCGGGGTTAGGAAGAGCGGGACCTACAGCTTATAGTGGAATCCGAACCACTTCTAGGGCCAAAACTTTAGGAGAAAGTAGAAATTGTTCCTCATTGATAAATGTCTTTTCCACGACTGTTGTATAAAAATATTCATTTTTCACACCAGTGAATGAGTGTGAATAACCATAAGTCACTGGTCAAGAGTTCCTAGGGTACGCGATATAACTCATTAGGAACTTTAAACCAGTGAATAATGGTTATTTACCGCTATTATTCACTAGTGTGGAAAATGGCTACCGTTTTGCTTGAGGAAGTACAACAGTCGTGGACAAATAATTATTATTCAGTCACCGATTTTTTAACCATGTGATTTTATTCAACCAGTTGTGGCAGTTTCTTCTCTCTATGAATTGTTGACAACATAAACATGGACTTGGGAACAATTATAGAATGGGGATCCAATAAATTGGTAGATTTCAATGCAAACAAAACACAAGCATGCCTTTTCTCTAGGAAAGCCGATCTCACTGTGCCCAACATAAAAGCTTGTCAGGAGAAACCATATCTTTGAAGACATCCATTTCGATGCTTGGTATTACTATCAACTATAACCTTTCTTGGGAAAATCACGTGAGATCAATTGCTAAAAGTGCATCCCAAAAACTTGGTTTTCTGTTTCGAGCCAGGTACTATTTCACTTCCAGTCAGCTGCTTATGATCTATAAGGCACAGATCTGACCTGTCCTGGAATGCTGTTCCCTTATTTGGAGTGCAGCACCCAAACATACCCTGAAACTATTGGATTCTATCCAGAAAAGGGCAATTCGTCTCGTGGGTGATGCCTCGCTCACAAACTCACTCACTTCTCTGGAACACCGTAGACAAGTTGGCGATCTGGCCCTATTTCATAGATATTTTCATGGACGATGCTCTTCTGAAATATCAACAATTGTTCCTCCCTTGGCAGTCCCCACGAGATTAAACCGTCGAGTTGAGGCTTCGCACCCATTCGTGGTGACTTTGGAGACCTTTAGAACATCTATTTCCAAAGTTTCGTTTATCCAACGAACAGCGAGGCTCTGGAACACATTGCCAAGGGAGGTGTTTCCCGAGGCATATAACCTCCAGAAATTTAAGAGGAACACCAATTCATACCTTGTTTCCCTTGGTTCTCACGATGTTCTCTGAACATAACAGGATATATCCCTTTTCGTGGAAACCAGAACATAAAAAAAATATTTGTGTATATCTGTAATGTTTTTTTTTACTACTTACTACTAAGGTGATGACTATTTCTATATACAAATGTATTCGTCCTAAAGGAAAATAAAGTATCATTATTATTATTATTATTCAGACATTAAAATATCTAAAAACTCAGATATAACAATTTCAATGGCTGCATTTAAATCATTTGAAGAACGGTAGAAATATACCGTTAAATGTTCAACTTCATACTTTTAGGTACACTATCCGAATATCTTAAAATCCTGTTTCCATCAATCTGAAATGTATCCAGATCCCATTAATTTAGAATCTCTCTTCATCACCAGTGGCGTAATTTATGCAAAGGGGGTCAAGGCCAGGGGGACTCACTTTATGCATAGCAGATTTATACGTTGCCTGGTTTGCCAAAAACGTCTAAGTAACGCTCATCGTGAAAAGCTCTGTATAGTCTAATAGTCTGGATGGATACAAAGAACGATAAGAAACACTTCTTCTAAGCGTAATTTAATCTATGGTAATACTCACGTATCGACTGAATAGAAAGTAATAAAATTATTAAATCTTCGTCTGATTTCACTTTATACCCCAAAATGAGCAAAAATAATATTTTGAGCCCATAATATGAGAAGTACAAAAGCGTCTGTGCATGAATAAAAAGTACATCGTTGAATATACATTTCGATGCTCTTTCCAGATATGGCAAAAAAATTGAGAAATTCAAATGTATAGGGTGTTGTTTTTGGGCAGAAAAAATTTGTGAATTTTAAGTGGAGCTGCACCTGGATTCCATCTTTTGTTGATGCCTCAATCAATTTGACAGGATAGATTGAGTAAGTGTACCAATTTTCAAAAGAATATACAGGTTGGTTGGAAAGTTATGAGCCAAAAAAGATATATGGGCAAAATTGATGAAACATCCCGTATTCCGGTTATAAGATGTCAAAGACATATTGACCATGGATTTTTTGAAATCACCTCAGTGACCCCTATCCACAGTTGAATTATTTACCTTTCCCAATGAAACACCCTGTATATCTCTGCGATTTCATCTTTCATTGTAAAATATTCCTTCGACTTCATAATATTTTGTTACGATATCGGGTGCAGAATAAGCGAACACTGACACTTGACAACTGGATATCGATATCGATGCACGCTTTGGTATATCGATACATATCGATATATCAATATGTATCGATATATATATCGATTTATATCGATATTCATGTATCGATATATCGATATGTACCGCTATATCGATATTTTTTTTCTGGTATCGTTATTCGATTTTTGCGCAGTCCTAACTGACACTATTCACTATTTACGAACTGATTTATTTCAACTAAAAGGAACTAATTTAAACATATAAATACTATTCATGTAGAACGATTTATATCACGCGGTGAATCTCTTTGCCAATATGCCAATATGATTGCAAAATGTCATTTACAAATGCTCAAAACTGGTTCGTTACTGATATACAGAGTGATATAGGGATTACCTGATTTGGTACAAATTTGGTATAGTTTATGCAAATTCAGTTGGAAAAACACATCACCGCAAGCCATCGGTTCCTTTGAAAGTTCAAAGGCTGCGGCAGTGCGGCCCGACATTCGTTTGATGATCTGTTCAACTGACTTTGTATAAACTATGTATGCATTAAACTCATACTCAAAGGCATCAACAATGAGTAGCCATCTGAACGAAACCAGTATCAGGAACGGAATATTATTTTTTTCCTATGATGGGTTATTGTGAGAATAACTAACCCTGTATAATAATTATCAAAAATCTGAGGTCATATTATGAATATACGAAAAAAAATAGGTACTATAGGAACGTGTTGAGAAAGTTTCACCAGAAGACCTGAAATCCAATAATATTTACAAAATACCATGTGCTGAGTATGAGAAAGAGTATACAGGGTGTCAATTTGAAAACTTCCACCCTCAATATCTCCCTCCAAGTCGATAATATGGAAAAACGAAAAGACAGGTCGATTTTATTTTCGAGAGGGACATGGTTCTAAAATATTTTCAGCCCCGCGGCGTTGCCGCTTCTAACGAAAAGAAGCAACAACTTCGTTATTTCAAATGGAACACCCTGTATTTTATTGCATTTTAAGATTCTCACTGAAAAGCTGATTTCATCAATGTATCACACTTGGGGTCTAGCAGGAATGATTACAGAGATATAGGGTGTTCAAAATCGAGATTTTACAACTTTAGGATTTTTATGAGTCGAAACTATTCATTATTGGTCAAAACGGCTTTCATGTCCCTATCTCAACTTTTGATTTACTATCTACTGACATTTATTTGAAACAAATACAGGGTGATCAAAAGTCTGAATCTTGAACCACCCTGTATTTGTTTCAATTAAATGTCGGTAGATAGTTGATCAAAAGTTGAGATTGGGACATGTGAGCCGTTTTGACCAATAATGAATAGTTTCGACAAAAAAAATTCCTAAAGTTGAAAAATGTCGATTTTTCACACCCTATATCTCTGTAATCATTTCCGCTAGACCCCAAGTGTGATACATCGATGAAATCAGCTCTTCAGAGAGAATCTGAAAATGCAATGAATCACAGGGTGTTCTATTTAAAATAACAAAGTTGTTGCTTTTTTTCGATAGAAGCGGCAACGCCGCGGGGCTGAAAATATTTTAGAACCATGTCCCCCTCGAAAATAAAATCGACCTGTCTTTTCGTTTTTCCATATTATCGACTTGGAGGGAGATATTGAGGGTGGAAGTTTTCAAATTGACACCCTGTATAGGACAAACAGGAAGGTATATATCTACAACAAAGGATGACTGACCACAGCAGCGATTGTAAAAATATACACAATTCGCTGAAAACAATGAAAAATCCCACTAGCCTGGTAGAACATTGCAAGTCATCACTCCATACCTTTGACTTCAATTCTGTCAGTATTATAGGACAACATACATCAGACATATATATCACTGACGATGACTCAATAGTAAGTATTTTTCCGGTCCTCCTCACTCAATAATTACGTAAGATACAGGGGTGCTTCTATTAGAAGTGAGACCACTATCTGCTGACAATTTATTGATTGTATTCATTTCAACACGGATTTTTATTTTTGAAACATATTTTGACCAATGAAAGGAATTTTCGGCCTATAAAAATTCATTCTTGCGATAATCAAGTTTTAGGGACAGTACAGGAAATGAATTTTTGTTTTTATTTGATATATACTCATGAAACATAAATTCTGATTTTCAACCATCGATATAATCGATTTGCATGAAAATAAAAATGTTTCACCTGCAGTGCAATTTTTGTCACTTCTCATCAGCTTCCCCAGGTATATTATACCTACGAAACGCACGAAATGCTATGCCATAAAGGGTGGTTATACACAAATAATGAGCCTGATTTTGTGTGTTTGAGTGTCAAAGAAAATTTGCTCTATTAAAAAGATATTTGTACAAAAAGTTATTGTCGTGTTGATTGCATGCTATCATGCACCATACAATACACTATCCGACTGCAGGTTATTATATAGTGCGGTTTAATTCCAAAACTTCTACGTCTACATCAAACAAAGCAAGCACTGAAAAATAATGGGACGCTCAGGCCATGTAGGATTCCAACAATATAGAGAATCTTTTTTATTCAAATCAAAACAAACAGATTTCAGCATATTAGCGCATTCTCTTAGTTATGGAACATGTCTAGGTGCTACTTCCTTCAATAAAAGACACGACCAAAGCTCAACTCGGCTATTCCAGATTTGGACCACAATGCTATCGACAAGTATTTTCATGATGTTTCTCAGCATCAATAAATCATTAACCACAGATGTCTACAGAGCTATTGGTGAATCTATCAGTGGTATTTTAATATGCTATGTGGCAATATGTTCACATTCCGTACATTCAGTAAAGTGGAAATTATTAAAAATACAACTGGAGAGATTTGAGCAACTCTTTTATGCCTTGAAATACCAATCTAGAAGAATCATGTCCAAAGTGTTTATCGTGGTATTGATATGGGCATGGCACGGACTTATTGGCATTTCATTGATATGCATCCCCATTAGAACGTGGCAAGAAAAAACGATTTTCTACACAGCAAACTTCTACATCAGTGTAGTATCAACTAACATTTTCATCATGAATGATATGTTATCAGAGAGATATATGTTCATCTGCTCGAAATTGAAAGAGCTCACGGAATTTCCTTGTATGACTCGTTCCAAGCTGAAATTAATCATTCGGTTCATGAAAGCAACTGATGAAATGGTTGATACACTGAATATCATCTTTGGGTGGCCCATGCTCTTCTGTGTAAACAGTACAGTTGTAGAAGTCGTGATAGAAACATTCTACCTAATTACGTTAAAGCGAACGGTTGGAACACTCATACTAAGTTCATTTATTACTGGTTGGAAGATAGTAAGTCATTATTTACATTCACAGGATATTCACATTTATAGGACACTCACATTCACAAGTACAAACTTCCAAAATATTTTATGGTTCCTTCACTATACCAAACTAACCTGATAAGCATACCTATGAAACTCCAGATTAGAAGATGAAACATACTCTTCTTTTTCGTACTTACAAAATTTAAGTAAGTAACCTCTACAGCTAGGCTGCCCTGAAATAAGTTTAAGATACTCAGCGGCTCTCAGATGTTTTTCTTTTTCATAAGGATTTGAGATGAAATAATGGTATCCGACCCAAATCTTCTTTGAAAATACCCCTCAGGAAAAAACCCTCTGGAAATACAGTCTCCGGAAAACATCTTCTGTGGAAAAATTTCTTTCAGGAAAAAATCCCCCACACAAAATTATCTCTAGAAAAATGTTCCTCGAGAATGAATAGTCGGAAGCAGGTTAGGTTAGGTTAAGTTTACATTCGATGAAAATAAATCTTCCTTCAAGATATTTCTTGAGGATTTGATTATCTAAACAGAAACTTTAGGAATGTGAATATATCATTAAAATACACAAAGAGTAATCGAATTTTTCATATACTCAATAAGAAATCAGCAAATACAAATGTTTCAATTTTATTTATTTCGAAAATTCAGTTCCAACTACTGACCTATAATTTCAAATTATGGGCTATCCCTCTCAAGAAAGTGATTGTATCAGTTTCATGATAACTATCTGTTACTCTTCTCAGTTTAGCATCAAAATCTTTGTATTTCCTTTTTCGTGATGCAGGAGAAGCACCAGCAATATTTTGTTCCATATAAGTTTCTGTCACTGTCTGTTCAGATTTCAAAATTTCGATGAATTTCCACAAAACCAGATGTGATCCCTGTGCTCTAACCCGTAAACAATTGTGCAGTCCCTCAACAGGATTATTTGTGCGAGGTTTGCTGTTCAGAGTATTTTTGTACTGATTCCATAGTTCTGGTTCGAATTTTGGTCCGCGACGCCGGTTGTGACGACTTTTCGTTCCAATCCATGTTTCTTCAAAATATGTGAGGAGCGGTGAGAACATATCTTCGTGATCAGTGTAAAACTTTAACGATTTAAGATTTTTAAACGAATCACCAACAGCGTCCACAGGAACGAAAGCTAGAGCACACATCATACGTACATGAAGAGCAAAATTGCTGTCTTCGGCGTATTGGTTCTGAAGGCCAAAAGATTGAACATGCCGATAAATTCATTGGGAGAAGTGATAAAAACAACCTGTTATTTCTGCATCCGGAAATATAGTCCCTACAGCTGATATGAAGGCAGCTTCAAAATCACATACAAATCTTTCAGGAGATAAATTCGGGTTTATTATATCTCTCAATATTTGGAGAATTTTTTTATATGTTTTTTTGGTACGATTAACTGTTAATGCGAAAATCAGTGGACGTTTTTTTCCATTTATGTCTGTGTGAATGGTGTATAATTGACTAAAACCGTTAGGGACAGTGGAAAATGTCCCATCTGCATACCAAGTATCTGAAGATTCCAGTATTGAGAGATTCCTCTCCGTTCCAAATATCAGTACTCTATTACGATCATCAGTGTCATGAATGAGAAAGCTCTCGTTTTTATGAGTCAATTTATATATTTCTGGTATCCCAAACTGCGATGACGTCGGAATGGGAGGAAGTTCATTTTTTCTCGAGCGTATAGATCGTACGGTTCGACTCATGTTCTGTATGCTCGGGAGGTGGGCAAGAGCAGGAGTTGATTGTGTTTCCAAAATTGAAGCTACTACTGAGGAGGAAGGTTCTTGGCTCCTTTGCGCTTTTTTTTTTAAATTTTTTCTCGAGCTGTTTTTGCTTCGATTTGTGCCCTGTCTGGTGCATGGTTATGTTCAGCTGATTTCGTAATTTCCCCTGTAAAAATGACATGTTTTAATAATGGTGCTCCAAAATATGATCGATAGATGCATATATTTCCACATATATGAATCACTATATGGAAATGTAAGTTCGAACCGTTTGAAACAATGCTCATCTTAATGGGTACTCACCTCTTCGTGTCGCTGTCGTTGTATGACAAATTCCCTTGCAACCAGTTTTATAATTGATGCATCTCCAAATAACTTTATCATCAGATTTGTAGTGCATGTTGTACATTAAACCATTTTCTACAAGCATTGGTTTTCCTTTGTTGGATGGAATTACTTTCATGGTGCGAGATCACACAAGATTATAATAATATAATTGACTATCTTTGAAATAACTGGATGTTGAACACGAACGTATTTGCGGATCGAAGGTATAACAAAAAATTTAACTTTTTACTTCACATCGATGTGGACGGTACACAACACAAAAACTTGTCCTTTCAAATCGAACAGAGATAGACTCGATATGAAAATTATTGTTATGTGGGATTTCCTACTTTCTTTCACCATTTTAACTAGGAAATTATTTCCAGATCATATTTACCGAGGATTTTTGTTCCAGGAGCACTATTTTCGATGAGAGATTTTTTCCAAGGGATATTGTTCCATGACATTTTTTCCTTGGTGATTTTTGCATGGGAGATTCGGTCCTAGTTTCGAAATAATTGAATTTTGTATTTTTACTTGAGGTTGATATAAACCCTCGAAAAAAAATTGCATATTTTGAAAATTAAATGGTTTGTATAAGCCCTGCTTATGTATTAATTTTCTCAAAGTTTATATGGTTTTTGTATGGATGAGCAACATAGTTGAATACCGCCCTAAAAGCGCTGTTTATTTAGAAATAAGTATATTTGGACACCCAACTACGCATAATTATCATCAGATGTCTTTTTGATGATAAAAACATACCTAATCAAAGTTGAACATAATCTTTGATGCTTTCAGGTGGTTCTGGTGATCATGGTAATGTCGTGTAATGCAGTGGAAGAGTGCGGGAAAAACGTGGTACAAGCTTGCTACAAGCTTCACCACAAGACAGCTAACAAGAAAATGAAGAGCCAGATTCTGCTGTTGGCAACATATGCAGAAGAGTGGCGACCAGTTTTTTCAGCAGCTGGATTTTATGATGTCAATCAAAAATGTCTCAATTCGATATTTTCGGCAAGCATCAATTATCTTGTCATTATCATTCAGTTTAATATGATGGTATCCATTCCCAAGAATACCTGAATTATAGTCATGTAAATAAGGAAGGAAAACTGTAATTTAAAAAAGCATGTCTTATTATAACTTAGGCACCTACATCTATTATGAGAAATAGAATAATATACACCTACAATTTTTTTTCTATCCATTCAAACAAACAAGCTTGCCGCGAAAAAAAAACAATTTAATTCAAACCAGAGATAGCACCATCGGCCCAGCATTTATTGTGACGCACACCGATTCCGGCAGTTCATGTACTTTCCCGGAGTTGAGGTGTTCAGGCGGCCGCCAGCCCGCGGTAATACACATTACCGGCGATTAAATTAACGACTCAAAAGTGCTACAGCGGTAACAAAGTTCAATGCACCATTGATGGGAGCGCTCAGCCACCAACATATACGCTTGCAAATCCATATCAAGGAGGATGAGTTTTTCAAGCACTTTCCCAGTATCTGACCGCGATTATATCTCTTTTCATAACTATTTCCGCGTTAGGCTTACATAAACCTATTGGGATGGAATTCAGAAACACCCTGTATAATAGTTAACATGCTGTGATGCTTCCGTCCAACAATGCAACTGTTCTGTCACTGAAACAACAGCGTTGTAAGTGCAACGATGTCATAGGGAACAATATAAAGAGAAGATTCAGAATTGGTATTGAAAATAACCTACAAAATTATGCCATTCAAGATTTTTCAAAAAGACTGATGCTGGCCTGGACATTTTAATAATCTACATTTTAAAATTTCAAAATATACTTTCAACAATGCAAAATTTTAAGAATTACCTACATACAATCAAAACTTCTCTAGTAAGAAACTACATTATTCTTAGTTTGTTCACTGAATTCATCTATAGGTATCATTATGTGTTATTTGAACTTCTGGATAGCTTTTCTTGGTTTCTTTATGCATGAAATCCACATCATTCCTCTAAATAGTATAAATTGAATAAGATGTTATTAAATTTGAAAGCTATTTCTATATCAATAACAGACTGCAGCAAAAAAATATTGAATATGCATAATATGGAAGTCCTGGGACCTGGGGTTAGGCATTGATTATTTTACAAATTTTACAGGAAAACATTGATACCTTGAAAAATATCCATATAGTCATTGGGAATGAATCATGTGATATGGACTCCAGTGTATCTTCTGTAACACTTGCATACTTACTACAGAATTGCAGACTGCCAGAATTCACAGCTGATACTTTGGTGATACCTGTTCAGAATACTACTTATGCAAACTTTCTAATTCGTCCAGATAATTGTTTAATATATGAAGAAGCTGGGATTCCTCTTGATCTATTAGTATTTAGGTAGGTAGATACATAGTTGGATACTGTAATGAGGGAAAAGAATTCACTAGAAAAATTCCAACATATCCTGTACCTAGTTATGGAACAGGTACCGGCCGCCAACTGTTGAACAATCTTAAAGGGGGAGTCTGTAAATTAACATTAACTTTTCAATTGTCATCTGAATACCCTCAAATCAAAATATATTATAATCTTTGTTCATCAATTACTTACCCTGTCATACAATGTTCCAGAGATCAATTGAATTTTGAAGAACTACAAAAAACAAAGAAGCTCACAACATCACTTGTAGATCATCATATGCTCTCAGCCAATGACAAAGTATTAAAGGACACTGTTGTACAAATAATTGATCACAGACCCAAAGATTCCAGTATGAGCTGGAATGAAAATCATGTTGAAATCAATATTCAGCAAGTTGGGTCATGCTCAACTTTGATAGCTGAAAAAATGCTATCTTTGAGAGAAGAAAACCACTTATTTTGTAGAGAAATTGCTTATTTAATTTATGGTGAGAAAATTTTATTTCACTCCTAAGCTGTTGCTACTATAAATAGCTAGTTATAGGTAAATTCTAAAAATTTATTCTTTCAGAAACCATAATATATGACACAATTGCCCTACTTCCTGAACATGGTAGAACGAAAGAATTAGATATAAAAATTGCAGAGAAATTAGAACATGAATACAACTTTGAAGAAGGTAGAAAAGTAATATATGACAAGTTATGGAAAGCACACAATGATGTTTCCAATTTAACACCTCAGCAGATGCTAAGGAAAGATCTGAAAATCATTGAAACTATTCCAGTACCTGGTCTTCCAATGCTAGTGGAAACCTTTTTGAAAATACACCATTCATATGATGCAATCAGACTCTTGGCGGAAGAACATAATGTTTCTCTGCTGGTTCTGATTGGATTAGATGCATCAAATGATGTGAGGAGAGATGTTGCTGTATACTACAAAAAAGATGGTGAACAAATGAAGGATTTATTGATCAATAAATTATATGATAAGGAGTCATTGAGAGGTTATAACTTCTCATTCAGTGAAGTAGATACAGACTATAATGACATTGTATGTTTAAGGCAAGGAAATACAAAACTGTCCAGGAAACAAATAGTTCCTTTGATTAAAGATACTGTCCTTGGATTATGAATATATTATCAAATATTGAATGTGATAAATTATTTTCCTCATGAAACTGTTCTGCTTTTAAGGTTTCATTTCCGTGCGAATTTCTGGCCTCAGGGTTGGTTTGAAAACTAAAAATGGTATTAACATCATGGCTCTAGCCAATGAAAAAAGATATAGCTGGCTTCAGAAAACATTAATATTGGAAATCTTTGGTAGAAGTCCATATTGCTCAGTGGAGTGAAATATTTCACAGGAAGAAAGGAATGCTCGAAGTCATGTCAATGTAATCTGTCATTTATCTAGTTCATATCTAGTTTATAGATTTGTAACAACTGACTATTCCTATACTTTTTTAGAAAGTCTGAAGTATATGAAATAAAGATATTTATTTATTTAAAATCAAAAGCTGATATAATTTCCACGAAAACCGGTAGGTGAAAAAAAGAATTCTAAAATGTGAGAAAGTGCCCTCTAGTGAGCATATTCGATATTTCAAATTTCAAATATTGCTAGAAAAACAAAGGAGAAAAGGAGGGGTTATACTATGAGTCAGTCGTGTCACTCGGTATTTATAAAAGATAATGACTTATTCCCATTGGATGGAACAGTTCTTTCTATAAAACTATTGGAATTAGTTCTATTTTTCAACTTAGAAGATTAAAGAAGAAAATGAATGAACAAAAACGGTGGATATACGGATGGTGATTCATTTAGCAAAATATGCAGTCTTAATATTTTTATTGTGAATATATGATAGTATTGATCATTGTCTGCTGAATATGGAGAGACAAAATCTAGTGAGCTGTAGTATCTGGTCTGCTCAAACAAGGAAAATCACCTGCAGGTTTCTGTGGCCGATACAGTATTGCCGCCATACGGTCAACTCGAGGAACACTTATTTCAATTGTTTTCCTGTCAAACCTACATAACCTTGTAAATCGTAAACGAGTTGAGCAGCTCCCTCAGCGGTGCTCTCGGCAGTCTCGGCCGGCGGCGCCGTTTGTTCAGTGAGTTTGAGTTCAGTATCACGACATAGTCACTCAGTAACTCGAAAATTAAAAAAATCATTTCTTCTCAAAATGGTTGTTACGGACACTACAATAGTCCATAATTTCGTAAAGTTCAACACCTGAATTAAATGAGAGGTAGAATCAGTAGTATCGATTATTAGCTTTTGATCAGGGCTCTGATTATCTTACTTTTAATGAGCCTGTAACACTCAAATGCCGAATCTATCCACTTATGTCGCAAAGAAATATCACTTGGAAATACATTAATAGAGACTTTTTTTTATCGCTTGGAGCGAACGTTAAAAAAACATCGTGCGTTCCTAGGGAGGATAGGGACAGGAGGTAGGTATTGGAATTTTTTTTGAACTTTTGGAGATTTCACACTTTCTGGTAGGAACAATTGAGAGACAGAATTTTGTAACAAATTATCAATCAGAATAAACTACTTCAATACTGGGAGCACAACACAAAACTATATCTATTAACGAAAGGAATATTAGAACAATGAGAATTGAAGAAGAAAGATTTTTTTAGGGAAAAATACAATATATGTCATGACAGCTCTTAACACTGACAACTTACATAACCACAAATTTCGAAAATTTTCTAGAAAAAAGTGAAGATCATTTCGTCCGATACGGCAATACATCCTCTGGTGGTCATACACATAACTGAGCTATAGAGCAGACCACTAGTTACAGCTCACTAGATTTTTTCTCCATATTTAGCAGACAATGGTATTGATCAATGAACTCTTATTGGGTGAATGTGAAACGATGGTGAATGTATACAAATTAAAATTGAATATCTTCTATGAGAACAAATCACAGAGTATGATGGTATGGCGCTGGCGTAGGAACACTCATCAATGGCGAGTTGATATCGATTTCCATTTCAACTGGTATTGCCGCTTCCTCCTGAGATACGATCTTATCTTGTAAAAGTTTGTACAAGTTATGCACTTTCTCGCTATGTTGATGTGTTGGCTGCAATGCTTTCGTGAGGGTGTGCAATCTACTTGTCGGTAACTTTTGATGAACATACCACAGCAGTTTCAATAAGTGCCTTGTTACGTTATCGCGTGATAAACCGGCGAAGAAAAATTCGTCAAACAGAGCCGTACAAAAGTCTTCTGCTTGGAACTCATCGGAATTATGTATCAAAAGACATACCTGAAATAATAACTGAATAGATCTGTTCTTGCTGAATAGCGTGATTAAAATCAACTATGAGCAATAAGACTGAAATCCCAGTGTTCAATGTGATACGCCTCACCCAAACATATGATGAAAAGTACCCATACAGAAATTCCATCCATGCAAATTTCAATCTAATTTTTGGGTCATGATTTGAAGTTATATAATTTCAAGTTATCAAAAATACTTACAAAGAAATGCAAAAAGGGATCCTCAAATGCTCTGTCATCTTTGCAGTTAGCTAAAACTGTCAAGATTCTCAACAATCCCACTCTGTCCTTCAACCTAGCAACATGAAGGGTATAGTACATTGCTAATATGCTTGCAACTGTGCTGTCCTACAAAGAAATTCATCATCATACTTCTTCAATCTTCAAATAAAAGAAACTCACAATATGCAGTTACTTGGATATTATTAATTACTTCAATCAGCGGAATTGAATGAATCATTAGAAATCAACAAACTCAAAAATTCTAAAATTTCACTTAACGATCAATAAGACCTCAATAGTTGACCACTGTTGAATTTGTTTTCTTAGTAGGTAATAATATGTATTTGCTATCAATCACACTGTATTTTAATGTAGATATTGTGCCTAATTTCCGGAAATGAAGGTTTATGGACCCTTTCCACAGGTAACTAATCCTTCAGGTTAGGAAAGTATAGGATATATAAGCAAGCCAAGGTTAGTGTAGTTCATCGTACCAGTGTATCACCTGACGAAGCTACTGTGTTAGCGAAACATGTCGTGTGTTTGAGAATTTTGTGGAAATCTTATCGTTTGTGAAGTTTTTAGAGATGCCAATTCGGAAATGTCAGTGGTGACAAGCGTGTCCACACTATTCAAAGGTAGTGTAATGAGATGTTCCAGGCGCTTTAGGTCATGCTATATATGGAATAAACTAGGAAACAGCCACAATGCTCAAAGTGTAATGAAATGTTAGATAAATACAAAAAGCTCAGTCATTTCCACACAATGTTCATAAAATGAACAACAATGGTAGATTTCGGGAGAAAAACAACTACTTTCCTGGCTAATATGCCACGCAGAACATTGAATTACATCCTCCTGAAGATTTCGGGAGTCAGGGTTGTTAGACAAAAATCATCGGCAAGGCCTGCATCGGCTGCCTCTGAGGGCTCCCTTGGAGGGTAATTCTGTGTATCTAAGTGTTCTACATTGTATGTTCTACATTTTTATCATGTCCCCTTTAGAAGATTTTTGTTTATATACCTTGTATTGTAAAAATGTTTTTATTGAATAAATGGAATTGAAACGGGAGTCACCAGAATTTGAGGTTCATTAAAAGTATACAAAAATCGTTTAGTTAGATTGTTTCATAAACCTAAGATTGAACGAATAATTGAGTAGTATACCAAATTTCATCACTGCTGATTGAACCTACAATATGCTACAACCTAATCAATTACTAATCATGTCAGCTATAAACTTGAAGAATTGGAAATGATGGAAACAATCTATACATACTATATTGATGACATTTACTTCATCAATGAATATTAAATTATCTCACTAGTTCACAGTAGGAACTATTCTAAATTGAGAAATATTTACTATATATTTCCTTAAAATAAATCAGCTGGCAACACAGGAAAAGAGATTACCACGTCAGTACTGGCGCTGCCGAATGTTCCATGAAATTTTAGGGTATTCAAATTGTTTTTTGAAATATTACAGCATATTTGATCAAAAAATGTAGGCATGCATTCATTTCATGTTACTACTATATTTCAATTTGTAACCATGGTTCATCACAAAATTCTGCAACTATTCTCACATATTAGTAATTGGTGGGTTTTCTAGTGTTTACCTGTTCAAAGGAAAATAACTATATCTCTTTGAGATAATAAAATGTTGTTATTTCAATTTTTTTATTCTGTTCAGATATTTGAATTCAACAGGAAACAATATAAGGATTATCTGTATTGTACATTTTTTCAAGATACATAATATTAACAACAAATATCTTACAGTGTTAGCACCCCATCAATACATGGATGATAATCCATCAATTCACAATATTTTCAAGTATTACCATGATATGCATAATGCACAATGGTGAATGAAGTTGGGAAATTAATCAAACATTTCAAAATTCAAAGTTTAGGATTGCAAGTATTGCAGTAGCTTTTGAGTAAAACCTCATTGAGTTATTGAGGAAAAAATGGTACACAGATATTACCTGTCATAGGGGCAACTTCAGGTATAAAGACAAACTTTTATTTCATAAATCTCTCATAGGTGGTTCTAATGTTTATAATCTTTCAGAATATGGTGAAAAATAACATTTCAATTCACAGATATCAAATTTACAGGATGTTTTCTTTTGTTTTCTGAAATTCACACCTACCTTTTTTCAAATTATAAAAAAAAACAGTTATTTCAGATATTTTGAAAATGAAGTTTTTTAGGGCTTATATGAACCTCAATTAAAAAACTAAATAATTGGGAGAGGGGGTCAAAACGGGTCAAAATACCTGTAAATAAGCTTCCACAGCATCTGGAAGTGGTCCAGAATGTTCAATGACAGTGATAGCAGCTTCTCTTTCATCATGAGGAAGTTTGGTAGATAGCTGCCTCACTTGATCATCTACCATAAGTGACATCAAAGCTGGTAAGAACTTTGTCACCACCTGGCTATCTAATTTGGGTTCTTTGAAGTCTTGAGAATCAATCATTACCCAAGCACTCAAGCCCAGAGCAAGCATTCTGAGAAGAAGGATTAAAATCGTGTTATCCTTGAAAAAATAAAGATCATTTCACAATGGATAAATCAAGGGATACATAATTTCAGTTTGTAGAGACAGTGCAAACTTTATCATCCCATAATTTCAGTGTTTCATATTGCTTCAGTAACCTATTGAGTATTATTCTGCTATGATTAGCAGAACCCCTGTAAAAGTAAAAAATGTCATACCACTTGGTGGGCATGAAAAGGAATCATGCATACCTAGGGAGGATAGGGAGAGAAGGAAGGTGTTGGAATTTTTTTTGTTGAACTTTTGGGGATTTTAAGTTCTTGGAAATACTTCCTGAGGCAATGAAATCCAACTGGAATACATCAGTACAGGCATGGTCAAGGTCAGAAAAATGTATAAAAACCTAATTTCAGAAGAACCTGCATAATGAAGGAGTTAAGCAAAAACAGGACAAAACAGTTCATGGTCTTTTTCTTTTGCCATGTCCCTGCTTAGTAATGGTGAGTTACTGTATTTTTTTATTTTCACCAAAGATATTTTCAAATGTTGGTTATTAAAAAGGGTTTATCAAAATTATTAAGATTGATTTCAAGGAATTCTTGCTTAGTGAAAAGTTAGAAATTGGTAATATCTATAAGAAGCAGGTTCTAACTCATTTTTGACAAAAAATCAATAAACCTACAGGGTTTTTGCTTAGCAGAGCAGTATTGATTCTTTTGGCTATGAAACTTACCCTTGGCATTGCCTCATTATGTATAAGATGCTGTAATATCTTAATAGCAGAAGTGGCCAGAAAGTTGATGGCATAAGGATCACACAGAGTCATGGACAGATCTCCTAGGACCTGCTCCTGGCCCCTTTTTACATTATCCAAGAAGCCTTGTAACTCTCTGGACCTTTTGATATCAACATTTTTTTCTCTGATGCAAGCATCCAAGCACCAAGTGAACTTATGACAAGGGTCAATAGAAATGATGTCTTGGACTTCCAAGTCATGAAGGGCCATAAGGAGTTCAGCTCTGAGGGTACAATAGTGTACAATCCGAGTTCTCAGAAATAGGGTTCTCAAGAATTGGAGAACCATGTCATATAACTTCACACTGTTGCCAATCATGTGGGCTAGTTTTTGGACAACTTCACCTTGCCTTCGGATCTAGATAAAATGAAATTAAATCTTTGCAAATTGTTCACAAGCACTCACCTTTGGAGAAGGTCCAAAAAACTGGGTGCCCAAACTGCTGTGGTCAAATAAAACATTTTCTTTTTCACTAATGTACTGACTCAGCAATGGGGATACCTCATCTCCAAAGAGAGATTGATTGTCTTTCCAAATCTGTCTCTTAACTTCTGTGTCAGTATCATTGTATAATTCTCTATCTCTGACTAAAACTTTCAAATAATGATCATCTATATGTGGTGTGTTTTTGAGAATTGCCATTACTATGGGTCTCATGGCTTTCACTTTCACCACTGGAAAGCTTTTGGTCAATAATTCCTTCAATTTATGATCTCTCTCTTTACCTTCCTGTTTACCTATTTCATTTATGTGATTTATCAGTTTCTCTCTCAACTCCTGAAATTAATATTGAAAATTTGTTGGTTCTGGAAAAAAGGAAAGTAAAACAAGACCTCCACCACAGACATGTGAAAGTCCAACCTCCTAACTCCATGTAAATCTAGTAAGGGTAGCATTGGCCGCAATGAAGGCAGAAGTATGCCATTTGTGACCTGCAACAAACAAAATTCATGTAGATGTAATCCTACTTTGATCATTCCTTTATTGTATTCACCTGAAATTCTTCAATAGCCTTCAGAGGATCTGTACAACTGGTCAATGCATGTTTTAAATAGTTAGGTCCATTTACTTTCAAAGCTTCCAAAGGAAAATCATTATGTCCTCGAATCTGAGACATCTTTTTTATATCTACTTTATCTCCAATGTTTTTAATGTTTTTAATCAATGCACATTATGAAATACTGTTTCATTATTTCAAATCAGTGGTGATTAGGTGAACATAAAAACAAAAGTGGACTTATTAAAATCAAAACCTTCGCTTCCTAAACAAATTTTAAAAATCCAAAGTATTTGTAGGTTAGGTAATATTTGACATTTAGGATTTCATCAAATGAAGATCAGTTGCGTTTTATTTGTTGTATTCTACTAGTATTCTAGTAAACGGTGGTGGGAACAGAATGACGTTTACAAATAAAACGAGAGTCTTCATGATCTCGCATGAGAGGATTGACATATTATAGAAAATGAATAAAATGAATTGCTGCATATTTGGAGTCTCTAGTGATTGTGGTGCTTGGAGAAAGTTATCTGAAATCGGGAGGATTCATTTTATCTGAGAATGAAGGAAATGAAACCTTTATTTTGTTTTTTGTTCTTAAATATTACTTGAAAGAATCATAATTATTAAACTTATGAACCTCACGATAAAAATGTTTCCTAAATGTCATCTAGTTTCAAAAAAATTCGTTTTTCAACAACCTAATTTCTAATTTCATTTTTCGACAACTGTTAACTTCCACGTCATTTCTTGTAGTTAGACGGAATGAAAAGTAGCAACCGGAATCGGAAAGTGATTCATCGACTGCAGAAATTTTTTTGATGGCCCAAGAAAGTGTTTGGGATCACACGTTAAAAGGTAAGGCCCCCGTCATTCCTTGCTCGCACAAGACTCTCGAAGACTTCTGAGGGTTGCTCGTAAGGGGGCAACCGAATGACGGATAGAACAATTTTAGAATTTTAGAACTGAATAGAATAGAATATATTATTATTAATTTATCATAGACAAGGCCCTCTAGAAAAATGACAGTTCACTGAAGATACACTACCTTATGATATTCTTCCAATAGCCAGCAATTTTAGCAGAATGAGTCGAAATATTTGGAATTAATAATATGTCTGCTCACAAGTACCTGTCACTTTCAGTTATTTTTCAAATTTCGGAATGGAATATCACCAGATTCAGTAGTGTCAGTTGAATTAGCCTCAGCAGTAGTGTCACTACTGGCGATGCGCCATATAATTATAGAAATAGTAGATATATGGTACAAATTGACTAAAACCATTGAGTATTCACACTAGTCAAGGCTAAAACCGAACAATAAACAAAAACAGCTGGTAAACTGACATCTCTCAAGCTTCACAAGTAAATCGTGACGTAATAATAAAGTTACCATGACGTCATCATAAAGATATCCTGGTTTGTCTGGTGAGCTTCGAGGAAAAATGACTAAATTATGTTTCTTGGTTCTTGATGTCAATTTGACATTTGACGTGAATTTAATATGACGATCTGTTGTCATGGTTGTCATTAATGAAAGACGAAAATAATTCTTGGTACTATCAGTGGAAAATGTTCAGAATCAGGATAATAATCGTGAATCAATGTAAACGTAATTAATTAATCTATCAAGTCCACATTCGGTAGTTTGTGTTATGTTAATAAACGGCTCTCAAACAGTTATTATTTTAGAAATGGTGTGTGAATACAGACGCTCGCTTTCAACTCGTCAGTTGGTAACCAGTGGGGAGAAGCCTATTATGAAGCTTGTTTTGTAAATGGCATTTTTGACAACAGGAGTATAATAGAAGTTGACTAAATGTACATTTCGAACGATTTTTCCAGTTTATTATGGGAAATTGAGTGTATTTTAAAAGTATTCAGTGGCGGAAGTTGTTTATTTACATCAACGCATTTCCTGATCTACAAATAGGTTATGTTTCCAACTTTCATTAGCATCCTAGGTGTGTTTATTATGATTAATATCAACTTCTGCCTCCAAAAGTGTATATTGAGCAGATCTTTCTAACAGTTTTTTCATTTCAAGATATTCAGTCATGGTGGGAGGTCCCAAGCATTGCTCATTTTTGTTCGCTTTTTCGAACATCATTCAACCTTTTGGATTTTGATATTGAGGTAAGAATAGATGGTAGTATTGAAACATTCATCATGAGATTTACCACAGAAATCAATCACTATCAAATTATTCATATTTGCAGTTGAAATTTCATTGCTACAGTTGCTACAGACAAGTCTATATTCTCCTTTGAATGGTTGAAAACTTGGTAATAAAGGAAAGAATACCTACTAAGAAAAACCTGTTTGCAAACCCAACCACCCTTTTGTTCACTTATTAGATGTTTTAAATGGCTGGGTCAATGAAACCTAAATAGTTTTTCACATAAGTTTCTCTTCAAATCCCTCAATTATCCTGCAATTTAGTTATTCATGTTCATACAATGAAGTTGAAAATCAAAGTACAGTTTATTCCAATTATCAAGCAAGTCTGTGGTCAGTTCTGTTGATTGTATTTTACACATTTCTGATTTTTCCTTGGTGTTTCTCTATTTGTACAACTTTCTTTCAATTTTTTACTGTTGGAATGTCAAAATCCTTATTATTTTTATTATTTCATAAACTATTTCAACATGCCAGTTCTGTCCTTCCAGGTAAGTTCACAGCAATATGTATATAACCATTCAAAATAATTGGTTTGAGGCACCATGCAAATTTGTGACATCAATAACATGTTATTAATAATATTCATGTCCAAATTGCACTGTTGTTCCAGTCAATATATAAATTAGGCCATATACAGGAAGAAATATGTACCACTTCAATACTCAACATCAGTGTGAAACGTTGTTCCAGCCACAACTGGGAAGGTCTATACAAACAAGTGGTGAAACCACTTATATCAATTCAAAAATATACCTTGAAAATTATCTTCAAAAAAACCTCCTGATTATTTTTCCAAAATCTTCTTTGAACATTTCATCTGTTGATCTATCGTTTCATAACATCAACAATATACATAAGAAATCATTTACAAATCTATAATCATGTTAAACATAAATATGACACCAAAAATAAAATTGATGGTTGGATATCAAATGAGAAATTTTCTTCAACTTTAATGATACTCAATAAGGAAATCAAAAATATGTATACTATCATTAATGAAGTATGCTGATATGTATGTTATTTTAAAAATAAATAAAAAATAATTATTCCAGACATGCACCATACCACCAATGGTCCTTCCTATATTACTAATTTATACTCATGGATAGCCATGGAATTATTAAAGCCTCCAAAATATATCCATCTATGAAACTATTTCCCATCAATGTATTCCTCTAAGGGTCCTTAATAATCTGTATACCTCACAATATTTTCTCGGGCAAGAATAAACCCCGCAGGCCCTCTCTGCTTGAATTTTGAAAAAAATCATCTTTTTAAAATACACATGAATGGGAGTATTTTTCCAAATTTTCTATATATGTGTTCTTCCGATGGTACTTGATGTGTATATCTCACAATATTTTGTCAGGCAAGAATTAAATCCACAGGCCTCCTCTTTTGGAAGTTGAAAAAAAATCATATATATTATCTGATTTGAGAGATGATGTCAATTCTCTATTTCAGAGGATTTTCATTTTTCATGCTCTCTTTTTGGATGTTCAGTAGATCTAATTCAATGTTCATCATGGCATATAGCCAGGAAAGTAGTTGTTTTCTGTTGAATAAACCGAGAAAGAATTGATATTTTCATCACATGGAGAATGCAAATTCTCACTCAATGTTTTTCTTCATAATTATATCCATTTTTTTTATGTTTATAATGATATCTGAGAATATTCCTATTCAATAAACAAAATACATGTGGATCGGAGTTTTCTATGAATTTGTTCCTCTAATGGTACAGGGTGATTCACCATAAACGTTCCTATAATTACGCGAGTTCAAATTCTCAATGCTTGCAAAAAACTCAAGAACAAGTGGTCATCTGGACCTGACAATATTCCACCCAAGCTATTGAAAAAATCTATTGACAAATTATTGGATCCTTTAGTCGTCATTTTCAACCTGATTATTAAAAGTGGAAAATTTCCTGATATATGGAAATACTCACGTATATGTCCTATTTTTAAATCAGGAAAACCAACAGAAATAACAAATTATAGGCCAATTGCTTTAGTTTCTGCTCTTTCAAAATTATTCGAGATTCTTTTGGCTGACTTGATGTATGAACACACTCGTCACCTCATTACAGAAAACCAACATGGCTTCATGAAAGGTCCCAGTACATCGACAAACCTCTGTATATTTACGGAATTTGTTTCGAATGCTCTAGATTCAAGATGCCAAGTTGATGTTATTTACACTGATTTCAGTAAAGCATTTGACCGTGTATCACACAGCAGGTTATTAGATAAACTAGTATCTTTTGGATTCTCCAAAAACCTTATCAATGTATTGAGGACATACCTGAAAGACCGCAAACTTTATGTCGAATACGAAGGAGTTCAATCCTCACAGTTTATAGCTACATCAGGTGTGCCTCAAGGCTCAAATTTGGGACCCTTATTATTTTTGTTATTCGTGAATGATGTATGCTCCAATTTTGAGTTGAAATCCCTCATATTTGCTGACGACATGAAAATTTTCAGAAGGATTAACGACTTATCGGATGCCATTTCCTTACAAAATGATCTGAATCTGTTGAAAAACTGGTGTTCAATAAATAAACTATCGCTCAATGTCAGCAAATGTAAGGTGATGACGTATTCACGAAAAAATAATCCTCTTATGTACCACTATGTCATCAATGATGAATCTCTAACACGAGTCACACAACACAAGGACCTGGGTGTCATATATGACTGCAAACTTGCCTTCTCAAGTCATTATGAAACAATGATCTCCAAAGCTATGAAATCCTTGGGTTTTTTAATTCGTACTTGTAGTGAATTTAAATCATTAGAAGCACTTTGTCAGTTATACTTTAGTTTGGTTAGAAGTAAACTGGAATACTGCAGTCAGGTATGGAATCCGTACCACCAACAAACAATTTCTGCTATTGAAATGGTACAGCGTAAATTTCTGAAATACTTATTTTACAAAAAATATAAAGTCTACCCCGAAAGGCACTGTAATTATGACCTTCTGTTGAATGAGTTCAAGTTCCAATCGCTGAAGAAGAGGAGAGAAATAGGTGATTTACTTTTTGTTTATAAAATTATACACAATACTATAGACTCCTCAGTATTACTTTCGCAGATCGAGTTTAGTATACCCCGATTAGCCTCTCGGTATCAAGATACATTCCACATTAATGTGTCTAACACACAGCACCATTTTCATTCCCCAATCAATTCAATGTGCAGAAATTATAATAAACTTGGAACTGTTGATATATTTTTTCTCACCTCAAAACAATTTAAACAAACCATTTCCAGTTTAGTTCCTAACTAAAATTTTCACTAACTTTGATTATACCTAATTGAAATCACACTCAACCATATGTATAGTAATCTCTATTATATACTCCTGTAATTGGGCCTTGGCCTGCTGGATGTATTACAAATTAAATAAATAAATAAATAAATAAATGTCCCCCCCTTCAGCTCACTTATTATTGAACCGATTTGAAAGTTTGAAAAATCATCTGAAATGATTTTTCAGAAAATTTTTTTCCGTTGCATCAGAAAATACAGGGTGCTCGGACCAAAGGATCTACAGAGTACTACTTGATTTTTTCAAATGGAACACCCTGTATATCATTGTATTTTTATATTCTTCCTGAAGAGCTGATTTCATCAATGCATCACACTTGGGGTCTAGCGGGAATGATTACAGAGATATAGGGTGTTCAAAATCGAGATTTTTCAACTTTAGGATTTTTTTGTGTTGAAACTATTCATTATTGGTCAAAACGGCTTTCATATCCGTATCTCTCTTTTGATTCACTATCTACTGACATTTATTGATTGGAACAGATACAGGGTGGTCAGAATTCTGAATCTTGATTCACACTGTATATGTTCCAATTGAATGTCAGTCAATAGTGAATCAAAAGTTGAGATAGGGACATTGTAGCCGTTTTGACCAATAATGAATAGTTTCGACAAAAAAAAATTCTAAAGTTGAAAAATTTCGATTTTTATCACCCCATATCTCTGTAATCATTCCCGCTAGACCCCAAGTGTGATACATTGATGAAATCAGCTCTTCAGGGAGAATATAAAAATACAATGAAATACAGGGTGTTCCATTTGAAAAAATCAAGTAGTACTCTGTAGATCGTTTGGTCCGAGCACCCTGTATTTTCTGATGCAAAGGGAAAAAAATTTCTGAAAAATCATTTCAGATGATTTTTCAAATTTTCAAATCGGTTCAATAATAAGTGAGCTGGAGGGGGGGACATTTATGGTGAATCACCCTGTACTTGATAATATGTATATCTCACAATATTTTGTCAGGCAAGAATTAACCCCAAAGATCTCCTTTTTGGAAATTTGAAGAAAATCATAACTTTTTGAAAATACTCCTGGATGGAAGTTTTTTTCTATGAATGTGTTCCTGTAATGGTATTTGATAATGCGCATATCTCACAACACACAGACACATTTTTTTGGATTTTGAAAAAAAAAAGATATACACATTATCAAGTAGAGGAACACATTTATAGAAAAAAACTCCCATCCACGTGTAATTTGAAATAGTTACGATTTTTTTTTCAAAATTCCAAGAAAAGAGGGCCTGTGGGGTTAGTTCTTGCCCTACAAAATATTGTGAGATATACACATCATCAATTACCAACAGAGGAACACATTTATGGATCCATCCACGTTTATTTTGAAAACTTATGATTTTTTTTTAAGATTAGAAAAAAAAAGGCCTGTGGGGTCAATTCTTGCCCGACAAAATATTGTGAGATATACAGATTATTAAGGACCCTCAGTAGGGAAATGGGAAATAATTTCACCTGGGTACATATTTTGGAGGTTTTAGTTATTTCATGTCCAGCCATGAGTATAAATTAGTAATGAACGACCATTGGTGGTATGGCGCGTGCCTCGAATAATTGGTGAAGTCGAATAATTGGCGAAGTCGAATAATTGGCGAAGTCGAATAATTGGCGAAGTCGTGGCTGGAACTCGTGGCTGGTTTCACACTGATATACTAAACTCAGTCTAAACTTAAGAATTGGGGAAGGTGGACTCAAAAATGATTTCTAAAGTTAACCAATTTATCACCCTTCATTTCCAAGTTAGGACTTAGTTGAGTCATGCATGAATTCTCCATAACACAAAAAAATCGAGATTTACCCTCTTGGTTAACCAGACATACCTTTGAGGCTTCAGGTATACCCTTAAGGATAAAGTCATGCCCTAAAAGTTTTCGGCAGAAATTATCATTGCTACATAAGTATTTAACAGTAAGGAGAAAACTTCACTTGTGTAATAACTGTAATAATTTTCACAGATTGACTTTTGCACAGGACAATTGTTCCGCTAAAAATTGATTTCTTCCAGTGTAAGAAGCTAATGTTTAGCCAGTTACTATTATTTCTAGTTCAGCTATGTAAACTCTTATCACTGAGTCAATCATTTTTTTCAACATTTTCTAAGTTTTCATCATTTTGTATAATAACATACTAGAAATAGGGAATTAAATAATGAATTGGAAAGTATTCACACTCATTGTAAAAGGTCTCATAATGAACTAATATCAAGGTCCTGTCCCATATCCATGACTTTGCCATTTACTTTGGCAACCTGTTCATTGAAGCGTCATTGATTAGTTCGATTGCTAATTAGTTGAGAAATCATGAAAATCATCCATTTTCTCAAAGTGGTCCACAGTATTTTCAAGAAGAAAAAAACTAGGGGCTCAAAGTCGGTCGACCACACTTCATATAATATATGTACATATGTAAAATGTTAGTTACTACTCTAACATTTTACATATGTAACCGGTTTCGGCGCTACGGCCATCATCAGACAAATACTAAGTACCTAAAAGTTTAAAAAACGAAGACAATCAAATGTGAATGAAGACTATAAATTCAACATACCGAACAATACAATTTAAACAAAACATCACTGGATAATTAACAATCATGCCATGGGTTGAGACACGGGCAATAAGTTGATTGGTTTAAATCTAATGAAGAGCCAGAAAAAACTGGCTCTGATAAGGTCAAACATCATCAGATATCGGAAATAAAAACTACATCATATTAAAAAATGAGTATGAAAATGTCACCACGACCGGCGGCCATAACAATTCGATCAGTCCTATAAGGAACAAGATACATTATAAGCAATTGACCGACTTTGAGCCCCTAGTTTTTTTCTTCTTGAATTAGTTGAGAGTTTGGTTGTTGATGATTTGGCTTTAGATGGGTTGGATCGACGATGATTTTGGTGTTGACAAAATGTATCGTTGATTTAATAAGTCGTTGATGAGTTGGGTGCTGATCAGTTAGATCGTTGATACGTTTGTTTGTTGATTAGTTGGATGTTGATAGTTGATAGTTGAGTCACTGATTAGTTGAGTTGTTGATGAGTTGGTTATTGATGAAATTGATTGAAATTAGATCGTTAATGAGTTTGGTTATCGCTTAGTTGGATGTTGATAGTTGGATAGTTGAGATGTTAATGAGTTGGGTATTGGTGAGGGTGAGATTGATTGCTGATAAGATGATTCATTGATGAGATAGGACGCTGATGAGTTGAGTGAATTTCAGTTGTGTCTTTTTTGAGTTGGGATTTGACAAGTAGGTCGTTGATATGTTGGATATTGATGAGTTGGGTCTTTTGATGAGTTAGGTGTTGAGTAGTTCGCTCGTTGATAAGTTGGTGTTGATGAGTTGAGTGGTTCATGAGTTGGGTATTGATGGAATGGATTGCGCAGTTTCTATAAAAAAAGTAACATCGAAGTAGCTTTTTTTGAATTGACTCGGCCGTTACTTGATGGAAATCCATGGGAAATGCAAAAACTTCACAAACGATAAGATTTCTACAAAATTTTCAAACATACGACATGTTTCGCTAACACAGTAGCTTCGTCAGGTGATATATTGGTTCATTGTACCAGTATATCACCTGACGAAGCTATACTGTGTTAGCGAAACATGTCGTGTGTTTGAGAATTTTGTGGAAATCTTATCGTTTGTGAAGTTTTTACAATCGAAGTAGCTGTTTAAATATGTTTTTTGACTTTCCGCTTCTCACTAATCGATTTTTAACATAGGTATTCGGTCGCATCCATGTTGTAGATTATGTCTATAGTTGTAATAGTAGGGGAGCCGAAGCGAAGATTTTGGGATTATCTCAAGCGCGGAAGAATATCATAAGGGGGTAACCATGCACTTTGCTCACCATACCTGGTCTCTTTATATGGTGTCGAACGTTTGAGGTAGCCGATGAGATTAGTAAAAAATAAGGGATCATTGGGAAAATTCGAGTGCGTAAGATTAAGGCAAGGTAAGTTAATTACATGCAGTAAAGTGTGCATTTCAATGATCTGACGGTTTGAACCTGATATAAGGAAATGGAAGATCCACAAAGTTGCAAAAATAACGTCTCCTGGACATTGTCGAGCGCGATTAATTTTGGAAATTATCCACGGATCACAGAAATAACGTAATCTGCCGATTTGCACGAGCCGAAGTTACAAAAATGATCGAGTGTGCGTGCTTACAGCAACTAGGAACTATGTTTTTCCCAAAATGCACGGGATGAGGTGTCTACTACTGGTAAGTATGACATGGACATATCATGACATAACATTGACATGACAGACAGCTGACATCTTCTGTTTCTTTAGCAACTAGTGATATTCCGGAATCTGAGGTTCAGATGCTTACGTACTACCTCTTGTAGCAATCAAGGCTCTACCTAGTCACCCAGATACTTTGGTCTGCTTCTTATGCGTTGAGGTCTCGGTGTCACTGGGCGCTAGTTGGCAAGGCTGTTGATGTTCTCTCTAGTGGTAGAGGTTGTGGGCTCAGCGCCGTCTGAATTCTAGGTGACGAACTCGGCAGTTGAAGTGGACTGTCTTGAAAATGATACAGTCTCTCCATTACTTGGTTCAGGGGCTCTGTTCCTTAGTTGGTTTGTATGACGATGCAAGGTGTCACCTTCAGGTGTTCTTACCAGATATGATACTGGTCCAAGTGTAGACTCTACTGTTGCAGGACGCCGTGTCTCCTTCTCCGAATGTTCTTGCATTTTCTCGGGTATATTTTGTCACTTGTTTCCTGGACATATATTTCAGGAAGTCTGGATTTAATGTATTTAGTTTTCAAACTAATTGTTCGACATCAACAGTTCTGTAGGACTCTGACCTGTGGTGCAGTCTGGTCTTGATATCTCTTTCAGATAGGTTTTTCATAGCTTCCTTTGTCGACTGGATGGTATAGAGCAATTCTTGCCTAGAAATTCCTGGAATTCCTCGGATGTAAACGCAAAGTTGCATTGTCGGACACAATCACATATTCCATATGTAGCCCATAACTCTTAGTACATCAATTGTCGCATGTGAAGATACTGATGGGACCTTCCGTACTTCCAGCCATTTGGAATAAGAGTCAACGACAATCAGAAAGTAATGTCCTTGGAATGGGCCAGCATGATCAATATGCATCCTTACCTATGGTTACTTTGCATACTCCCATGGATGATTTGGTGCTCTAGCTGGCAGATGTTTTGTTTGCTGTAAACTATACATTTGCTTACCATTTTTTCGATTTGATTGTCCAGACCTGGCCACCAAACATGAAATCTGGTCAATGTCTTTGTTTTGGCTATCCCTGGGTGTGCAGTGTGCAGGAGCTGAAAGACTTGTTCCCTTCTCCCTGGTGTTATCCACTCTGTTTCCCCAGAGCAGACAATGATTTTTCTTCTGAGGTCAAATCATTGGTCTCAAATGTCATCGTTTTGATGGTTCGCCTAGGACACCTATCATCCCTTCTCAATATCTGACGCTCTCGAATACATTTTTCTACCTATTCTCTGCCCCCTTCATAAGGCCACTTTCACCACGCAAACCGGTAGATTATTTTTTTTCGGTTATAGAAACACGTGGGTCGAATACATTATTTTTATCTGAAGCGCTCGAGTATTTCTTTGTCTGTTTTTTTTACCTTTTCGAAAACCTGTACACGCTTTCCCCACCAGTGAAAGCGCATACCTCATATAGACTTTTTCATTTTCAGCTTATTATTTGCGACGCTAGAGTAATTCCCTATTCAGCCTCTTTGCCTCCTCTACTATAACGAACAGGAGCAGAGAGCTACAAACGATAATATGACCACTATGATGTTACAATCATTCATACAAATCCTGTATAATAGAATATATTTTCAGGATTTAGAGGAGGCCCTTCTCACAGATGGTACGGAGGAGAGTTCTTGGCTGCAAGAATTGATAGTCAGACTGCTGAGCGGCTGCCTGCCCAACAATGAAATCTCGACGTTCAACTATCAGATGTTCCTGAGACGTCTCTTCAGGCAAAAGTGTCAAGAGCATGATCGTTATAACCCATTCAACACGGACATAGATTTCCAGTTGCTGCCCCTTCGCACGAAAGTCGATATACTGCACGCTCTTTGCGATTTCCGTTTGGACGCTGAAGATGTTTTTGATTTGTTGAAGAATTTGGAAGCCGATAGCCTTCGTGTGGAACCTCTAGGTTAGAAATAGAAATTTTTACTCAGATAACTTGCATAAGGTAAACTTTGCTGTCAACGGTAAACATGGTCTGATGTTAACAATAACAATACATTTTATTATACAGTATGTCCGGCCCGGCTTCGCATGATGGGTGCATCTACAATACATATTTTTTGTTATTTCTCAAATTATTTTGTGCTTATCTATAGCTAGAATAGCTACTATTATATACTTACACCTATTTCAATTCTCTCAGTCTCTTGTATTATTTTGTTGTTTTATGTATTACAAATTTCAACCCAATCGGTCAAGCCGTTTAGTAGTTGACGTACCGACAGTGGCGCCACCTACCGGGCCCAATTGTTTTTTAAATCATCCAGGAAACCATCGAAATACCCATATAAAAATTCAACCCAATCGGTTCAGCCGTTTAGAAATTATGTGAAAAAAATAATAGGGAAGTATATTTCTTACTACCCTTTGCCTATTATCTGATTTCCCGTCGGAATGTAGCATTTTCCAGCGGTAATAAGTAGCCTATCTTCATCAGGGATAATGTCTGCTTCAAATGGAGAAAGAATTTTTCAAATCCATAAAATCTTTCCTCTTTATAATATTACAACTAGCTGTGTGAGAGATGTAATTCCCATATCACTGATACGAATGATTTTTTTGGGAAAACTTTCAGTCTAACTTTCGATCTTAGCCAGGACTTAGGAATCTTTTCCGTAGTTTTCTTGTCATCGCAACGTCAGATGATGAACTTGGGTGCCGCAAATATATGATGTAGAGTAAAGTAGTTCGTGTTTTCATTATACAGATACATGATACATTTATGGTAGGTCAAAGCAGTACATTAGTGATTAACTCAAGTGAAATAAAATTACATTAAGAATTTCATAAATGACAATAATGCTTAATGGTCATGAATCACATGAATCTTGAAAGCAAACTACCAAATTGAATGTATTACAAGAATGAGTGAAGGTAGTGAAAGCTATATTAATATGAAACTATAAAAACATGGAATAACAAAGAATAATCAGTGGCCAACAGTAAAGCTACACCTTCTAAGTGAATCTGCCGTCTATTCCATCTTCTAAGAATATGTTCATACTCATATAAAAACATAAATATGAAGATCGAAGTTCCATCGACTTTGGTATCAATAAATTGGGATACTCAAATACCATAAAATATCTTGGCTTATATTTAGATAAAATGCTTTCCTTGCAAGTTATACAGAAACTTTAAGAAAAAAAATTTAAGCAGCCATATGAATCCTAGAATCTCTAAGCTTTTGTCTACCTTAGTACCCAGTGAAGTCACTGTAGGTATTTTACTCTAATACATTGCCATTTTCAATATCTCAGTACTTTGGTATCCTAGTCGACAAGATCTCGTGAATTCACTGAAGGTCAAAATAAAGCAATCAAAAGCATCTATAATCTTCCCGTCAGATATAACGCAGACATGCTTTATAAAAACTTCCATATTATCTACTTAAAAACCATCTATTCATTTCAAGTATCTTTCTATATACATGAGATTTTCTGTAAAACACGCCACTCAAATTTAATGTTGGATTTTCGCAGTGACATACACAACTATTACACCCGGTAAATAGCATTGAATACAAAGAGGTTCAAAATTATATTAAAAAAAGTTCAGATAATTCAACAAAACTAATCCAATCACTTCTATGTATTCTATGTATATATTCTCAAGACTTTGTTCTTGTTACACTTGTAAATGTACTCGTAAATGTACTTACATACTGTGCAATAGTGCAATATTGTGTGTAAAGTAACATAACTAAATCTTAAATGTACCCACCTAATAACTACTTTGCAATTTTCTGTATTGTATTTTTGTGTGAATTCAAAATACGTTCCTATATGTATATGTCGGCGTCAATTAGTGAAATTAGTGAAACGCCTAGTCATTTCACGCATTATCATCAAACAGCGTAACTTCAATTTTCATCTGTTACTCTGTTTGCCGGAAGGTTGAGGAAGGAAAATACCCATGAGAATAAAAGAGGAGACTACTTTTCCTGAACAAAGTCTAACCAAACTCGGACTTTCTTCCTAGAAAGTATATTTTTCGGAAAATTATTGAGAAAACAAAAGATACTACTGTTTTTAAACAGCCTAACCCGACTCGGCCTAAATGAACCTACTTTCCGCCATTACAGGAAATGTCAGAGACTATTAGACAAACGGTGTACAACATTTAGAGTTACGCTGTTTGCCGGCAATACGTGATATGACTAGGCATTTCAGGGAATGAAGGATTTCACTGTTTTATGCCGACATATGTTAGAAGATGAATATGTATAGAATATGAATTTTCTTAATTCGATAAAAAGAACATTTCTCTCAATAATCCTGTGGAAATTGCCTCAATGTCGGGTTTTCTTCCAGGATATGACGGTAACGAATCAGCATATTGGTACTTCTATGGTACTAGATTGTACAGAGAGGACTATACGACAAAAAACAACAAGAAAAAGTCCGTTTGGCAGGTCATATGTTTCACAGAAGACGATTGGTTTCAATTGACAAAGAAGTTCAAAAAGTCTGGGAATAAAGTCGAGAGGCAATTGCATCACACTCTCAACGAGAACTTTTTACCTGAATTGCCGAGGCTTTTCAAGGAAAAAGAGAATCTCGCTAGGAAGAGGGTGCTTGAGAATCAGCCCAGAAGGACTTCAGATCGCTTGCGAGAATTGGTTAGTATTACTATCAAAGTTGCTCCAAATGCAATTAAAAACTAATTTGGCAAAAAAATCGAACTCTTCATGTGAAGTTCCCCATGGTTTTCAGAAATGTGATAGTGATAAAGACGTTGACAAGTTGGAGAGAACTGTGAAAGAGGAAAAGGTTAGGCCAGCAGAAGAGACTCAAACTAAGCAAAGGGAATCGGAAAGCAAGAGGCCGGAAATTCATGAGAGGAGGTCTAAGTCAAAGAAGGACAGCGAAGAAGACTCTGATGATTATGAGATGGCTGGCTCGAAGAATAAGAAGTACAAGAATCGGCAAAGGAAAATTTCGAACAGTTCTACTACAAGTAAAGGTAAGTTTTGCCCTGTAGTGGTTAACAATTTCCAATAGAAAAGTAAAACATCTTCACAAAGTTTTCAATGTATGCTCTCAATATATCTAGCATCTTTTTTCGAACTATTATTGAAGTACCGGTAACATTGAAAACCTGACCTTGCTGGGATTTGGTTGTTAACCTCTGATCAATGATGTACAAACACCCCTGACAAACTTTGGAATTCAGTATCTTTCAAAATAGTAATTAATTTTCAGCCAAAATATAGAAAACTTGTCTCAAACCATTTTCAAAATTGTGTTTATGGCATCTGAGATCAACAATAGACCCTATTGTCGTTTTCAGACGAGAAGAGTTCCAAATCTTCAAAACGAAGTAAGAAACGCGATGTTGTTGAAGAAAAGTCTTCCAGTTCTAAACCAACAACTGTCGGCCGACAGACTAATAACTCCCTTTCTGCAGCTACCGGACAGATACTTATTCAGCCTATGGCTAATTCCAACAAGAAAAAAGTCAAAACATCCCAAATGTGAGTAATAGATAGACATAATAAATTTCCATAGACATAGTTTTCGCGCACACTTCATATCACAATAATTCATTTTGCTGGGGAATTCTAATAAAAGCAATGACAATATCTTATTTAGATTAGTTATTAACATTGTCTTTGTTCTGAATGAAAACATGACTGGCGAGGTATAATATTGTCTGCTCATTGGACAAAAAGTTGTGAAAATAGCTTTTATTGATGATTTTTTCAGTAAGCCAGTGACCTGAATTTTCATTCATATGTTATTGTGACCCTAGACATTTTTGATATTCATGTCAAGATTTACCTTTCTATCAAGTTAGTAAACAAAAAATTCTCATGTTGAAATGTATGAACATTGTTCATACTTACACTTGAAAGCAGGATACATCAGGAATAAATGGTATTATGAAAAATTATAGAAACACGCTTTTATAGATAGCCAAACTAAACAGAAGTAGAAAATAAAGTAATAAAACTGTGTTGATAAATACACAACAAAGAAAATATATTATAATCTATGTTGTGTATTTATCAACACACTTATTTTTTTATTTCCTACTTCTCTTCAGTTTGGCTATCTATAAAAGCGTGTTTCTTCAGTTTTCCAAACTACCATTTATTTTTTAGTTCGGCTTTCTACAAAAGCGTGATTTTTAGTTTTTTATATATTTTTTGTATCCAGTCTCCGACCCCAAGAACCCCCAGATACACATTTTGAATAGAATCTGTTCATAATAATTACAAAACTCGTATCAGCCATCTTCAATTGTCCAATTTTTACGAAAGAACCATCATTTCCGATCCCGAAAACCCCCAAATACCAATTTTGAATAGAGTCAGATCATAATTACAAAACTCGTCCGCCATTTTGGAGCCGCTATTTTGTTTTTTGGCTTGTCTAGCAAAAATTTCATGATGCGTTGTCACTAGAATTATGTACAACTGCCTAATTTAAAATCATTCGGACGTTTTTAAGTTGTTCAAAATCACGTTCGAAGATTCCGTTACAAACAAACCACCCCCCGTGGCTCAAAATAGGGGTGAGCAATCAAATAGGTCGAATTTCGATATTAAAATTTGTATAAGATACATGGGCTATAATTATGAAAATAGTTTCTATTTATTATTGGGAAACGCGGAAAATTGTTGGCGCGTCGCGTCGTTCGCCCCTAACTGTATTTGCGTGCGGAAAAGTGATACTTTGCGTACTTGTTAAGAAAACAACTATTTCTCACACTGACTCTAGATTTTTCCGCATTGAATGCTCTTTGTTTATGTTCATCATTATGTAATTAATCAGTCCTGTGGGACGGTTATTGGAAATTGACTTCTGATCTCATAGTACATATTACATCCCATCAGTGGATCACTTTATTTGCAAATTTGTGTTTCTCATTTCAACTGACTTGTGGAGTAGTTATTTATCTAATGCACATCAGCTACAGGGCTTCTCGCTTATTTTCATTCGCCAATGACCTGTCGTAATGTGTTAGAAATCTGAAATATTTTCAAGTGGTATATTTCTTCAGATTTCGTCAAACTGACGAGGATTTACAAGTCGGGATGCATAAAATATTGGACTACGTCCAGAATCACGAGGACGCTTGGCCATTTGCCGATCCAGTAGAAGAAGAGTATGCGCCAAACTATTACTCGGTCATCAGGAAGCCTATGGATCTGCAGACGATGGAAGAAAGGCTGGATTCGGGATGTTATAAGAATTTCTCAAAGTTCCGTGCGGACTTCCAGCTAATTGTTGATAACTGTCGGCTCTATAATGGAGCAGAAAATGGTATGCTCCTTTCTCTTGTTGTCTTTGTTTTTCAATGTAAACGGCTATACATTTGATGTGAGACTACCGAGAAAATGTTGTTTATTCTCGAATGGGCCTTTCCAGTATAGTTGAATTTCACCCTTTTCGCTATAATGTTATGAAGGAAAGTCAAGAACGTTATCCTGACTACATATTTTTCGAGAAAACTGAACAACAAATAATGAATTAATTAATAGTGAAAATGATATTTCAATACCTGTGAATTGGAACGCTACTGAGCTGTGATGTCAGCAGTTACGTTTAATTTGTTCCATTCTGGTATCGGTGGTGGGAACAGAATGACGTTTACAAATAATACGAGAATCTACAGAGAGCATTGACATATTATAGATGATAGAGGTTATATTAATATATTGGAGCTCCGAATAATATCAAAATCATAATACTAGAGTTAAAAATCATAAAAATTAATCGAAGCATATTTGGAGCTGTTATTGTGGTGATAAGAAAAAGCTTGTCTTACTTGAAAGAATCATAAGATTGCGAATCTCACGATAAAAATGTCTTCTAATGTATTTGTACTTTCAAAGAGTTTCGTTTTTGGTCAATCTGCTTTAATTTTTTGACAACTGACAACAGTCATTCCACGTCATTCCTTGTAGCGAGACGGAATGAAAAGTAGCAACCGGACTCTAATAAATAAAACGCAACTAGCGTCTCCTTGCAATTTGATTGGTTGGAGTTTGTGACAGCTGGAGAACACGCCGCTGTTGCCAGGTCTCTATGAAGTCCTTGAATTGATGTTATGTGCAAGATGGTGCAAGGACTGCTATGATTCGAAATTACTATGTAGTAGGTAGGTGATTAGTTGATTCACTGCTGTTCACATTCAATTTACTCTGAATTCCGATATATTCCATTAGTTTCAAGATTAGCAGGATAAAATGTGATGCAGGCATGTAACAGACACTTTTCATATGCTTTGGTTTTATTTATCGATGTTATGATTTTGTTGACTAATTGTAATAATCAACAAATTGAACAGTGTTACTATATCTCGTTTACTAATTCCCGGAAAATTTAATTGCTAATGTGGCAACTATGTTTACAAGATAAAGAGATGATTGCCAAGTTGAAATACCTCACTCTCCACATAACTTCAATTCTCATTTCTCAATATTATTGACAAGAAGACAGTGATGGTTGTACTGAAATCAATAGAAGCAATTTAGTAATGATTGATTCAAAATTTGTTCATTTCCCTATGGTAGGTAGGTATAGCTAGGTGTGTATAGGTGAGTACCTAAACTCGAAAGTACTTTACTGGAAGGGATGTGAAACTGAATGCCATGAATATCTGCATTTTAATATATTCAATACGAAATTAAATTTCACTTACAATTTTGAATAACCCGCCAGCAGAAATCCACCATCTCACTTACTAATTATGCAATGCAATTTTTCAGTACGACCAATTTTCAGGTATCAAGTTATCTAACAGCATGTGTATCATTTGCTGAAATAAAAAAAAATAGAAATGAATATCCGACTAGTCATAGCTTTCTGCCCAAATTGCCATCATTGTCAAGTCCATTGTGCATTTTACTGGCTCCCGTGCGAAGGTGAGGGATCGTTTGAATTCGCTCCTTCATTTTGGCGTTTTTCAATGATTTTTTATACGATGAATTGATTGAAAAAATCTCAGAAAATAATTTTAAGGTATTCCAGAGCCATATAATTCGAGATAAGTAATATTTTCGAAATAACTGGAAAGGCTCATTGTTATAACTTTGGGTGAGGTCAATTGGTTTATGATTCCTTCATCCGCTGCATCATTTTTTTTTTTCGATTTCGTTTGGAAATTAGGACATACAGTGTGACCACTGAACGTGTTACAGTTCTTGAAGTTTCAGGTCGCCTAACCAACAGGAAGTTTTTTAGTTTTTTTATGAGAGCTACAAGATGTAGCATCATTTTTAATGAGGTTGCCTACAGGATATTTCATTATTTTCAATTATTTGATTAAACAGAATTTTGAACAGGCAAGATCACTCATTTATAGAAAAACACCATTATTATATTACCTTCATCACAATGAGAAAAGGAACAGAGAATTTTTCATTCTTTTTAGATTTCAGTGAACAGTGTTGGCGTCTCTTTAGCTTGTTTTGTTATTTTACCATTCATCAATCTCAAGATTCAACTGATTCAAACAACTAATGTGTTCTTGTTCATTCGGTTAGATTTTATTGACCTTGGTATAAATGTATAATTGAGGATTACGCCAAATTTTGTCACCGCTGATCGAACCTACAATGTGCTACAACCTATTGGATTAATAATTATGTCAGCTATAAACTTGTAGAATCGGCAATGGCGGGTAAAACCTATATTGGTGACATTAATAGTCGTTTTTCTTAGAATATACTGAAATGGTGGACAACCTACTGAAAGTCTTCGAAAAGGCGACTGAAAAATACTTGGATCAAATTTCATCTTCTGACGACGAAATCGCTGTCGAATTCACAACTCAAGACACCACCAAAAATAAATCTGCCAAAACTGATGGACTGACCACTTCTTCTAGACGAAAACCGATGTTGGCAGCACAAACAGACAAAAAGCGGCACAGATCTTTATCTGAGAAATCTCTTAGCAGCTCGAGGAGTGAATCATATGAATCTTTGCATTCTGCATATGAAGAAGAAAATGTGAAGCACAAAAGTGTAGTGAAGCAGAAGCATGAAAAAAATAACAAATCAAAGAAAGAGAAGATTGAAGTGTTGAAAGAAAAAGTTGAAGTGAAGAAAGAAAGGATTGAATCAAAAAAAGAAAGACTAGAGTTTAAGAAAGATAAAATCGAAGCCAAAAAAGAGAAAGTGGACAGTAAAAAGGAAAAGAATGATAGTAAAAAAGAAAAAGTTGACAGTAAAAAGGAGAAGGTGGGCAGTAAAAAAGAAAAGATGGAGAATACAAAAGAAAAGTTTGTCACTAAAAAAGATAAGATGGTGAGTAAAACTGAAAAAGTGGAGAGCAAGAAAGAAAATGCCGAAAGCAAAAGAGACAAGGAAGAAAGCAAAAAAGAAAAGTCAGAAATAAAAAAAATCAAGAACCAAGGAAAAAAGAACAAACACGAAGCAAAAAAGGCGAAAGCCGAGAGTAAGTCGAAAAAATCGAATAAAAAGTCCAAAAAGAAGATGCCGAGGAGAAGTAGGAGTCAAACCCACAGTCCTAGTAGAAGTCCGAGCAGAAGTCCGCCGCCCAGTGACAGTCCGCCCCCTTCTTGGCCGCCTTCGAGCCCAGATAGCAGGTTCGATTTCATCCCAAATAACTCCAAAAAACGGCAACTGCAAGATGCTTCCGATTCCGAAGATATTCCGAAGAAAGGTAAATAATATTTGATGTGTATAAATAGTATATTATACACCTAGGATGAGAAGTGAGCTATATCATAGCATTCTCACCCGAAGTATATATAATATTTTTTCCACTACCAACATTGAAGAACAAACATCTTTTATCAATTCAGATTATCATTTCCATTAAAGGAGCAATGCCATTTGCCGTGTATACCTATTCAGCATAGTTCAGCATATTACCTACTAAAATGTTGATATATCAAACTCAGTCTAGGAGTTCAATTGCCAAACAACCTAAAAAGAAATTCGAATTGGTTGTCAGAAAATAAAGGCAGTGTCAAATTCCCAGTTGAAATTGTAAATAACTACAAAACCGAGTAAAAATTTGAGTGACATATATTTCGATAGGCATAAGCTTGTACCCCGCCTGCATGAAGTTAGGAAGGATAAATATATCGCAAATAGATATTGAAAATACTTTATTCATTTAAATGTTTTGGAATATTCAAACCTCATGAATATCGCACATGATACCATTGAACAATCATTGAATTGGTACATATCATATCGTGTCGACCATACACGACCACCATACCTGAAATTGTTTTAATTGATCAAAAAATGTTTCCTTACCGAAAGTCATGGTTATTATTTGAATTCTTGGTCTAATTCACACATGACAGTGACTAATCACATATGATTTGTGTTGGGACAATTTCAGAATTAATTATAATCAGATTATTCCAAACAAATACTTCTAAAGTTTGCTTCCATCTGTAATGAGATTTGTAGTTTCACCTATATTTGGTTTTAAGAAAGTAGCATTTTTCGTTAGTTGCATACGCATAGGTATCTATGTGTGTATATTGCATAGTATCCTTAACACTATTGACAGTTTTTGTACTACCTAAGTGAAATTTCTTTATGAATTCATCAGTATGTATAATACATATATGTAATCTGAAGTTAGCCCAACAGTTGTACCATGAATAACTTGAAATTATAATTTTTAGAAAAAAAAAAACATTCCATTCTTTTTAAAACATTTCCACAATTTTTTTTTTGTATCTTCTTCAATTAACTCCACATGGGGTTGAATATTCATACATTGATTATTACTGCAGGAACACAGCCGAAGTACAGCTATTTTGACGACTACTTTGAGGACTTTGAAGACTCCATGCATCAAGACAAAAGACTGAAAACAGAAGAACCTCTCCTCTCCCCCAAACCCAAAGATAAGCACAACAAGCTGAGAGAAACAATAGAGAAGCTCAAAGCCAAAAGTGAGCTGAAACTCAACGATTTCCAATTTGAACTAGATCACCCAAAAGAGAACAGAGACAAGAATAAGAAATATGAGAAAGATGATAAGAATAGATCAAAATCCAAAGAAAAAGTACTCCAAAAGGCAGAAATAGAGCTAGATAGTAATAGTACCACTGACAGTATCCAGTCAGAGAGTAAGAAAGGCAAAAATCCAATGGCTAAGAGCACCACTCCTGTACATAAGACCTCTTCGAGCATGGATGCTCTCAGTATTGCTACAGAGCAAACATTGAAAGACATAAATAAGTGGTTGGATGACACTCCAAAGTTTGCCGAGTTCAGTTCTGCGAGTAATTCACCATCTTATACTGGATTAGATGAGTTTGATACCCTGAATAAGGTGGAACAAGTCCCGGGAAAAAAGATTGAGAAACCACCAGTGAAGAAAGAAATCGGTATCAAGGACCCCAAAAAGAAAACGTTCAGAGATCCATCCAAGTTTTTCAAACGAAGGGAAGTTCAAAGAACAATAGACAGGTTGCAGCCGGGAAAAGGGAAGGGAAATTTAATCTCGAACGTGCAAAATCCCACAAACAAAGTCGACGAAATCTACCCACTGGGACCTCTTTCCAAACAAAAAGATCCCAAAAATTCACTTATAGTGAAAACGGACACAAACGCCCCAAAACTCAGCTTAGGATCTGTGCTGAACAGTTTTGGCAAGCACAAGTTTGTCGATGACCAAAAGAAAGAAGTGGAAACTAGTCCTAAAGAAGTCCCCAAAGTGGAAACGCCCGAAACTAAAATCGTCGAAGCACAACCAGACAATGAGAATAAAAGTATTGCACCTGCGGAAACAAAACAAATAAAAGAAAGCAAACCAGACAAAGAGTCCGCCATTGAAGATCCTAGTGCAGGTGGTGGTGCAACCCCTAACCTTAGTGCATGGTTCAAAGCTTTTGGCGCTCCTAAAATCCCCCCGCCCATTAAAAAATCTGACGACAAACCTGAACCCAGACCCATGGATAAACCTGAGGAACCCATCAACAAATCTGTGGATACCCGCAAAGTCCCGCTCCCTATGGCTTCTCCAAATACTGACAACACAGTTTTACCTCAAGGTCAGCCAACACAGAGACAAAGAAAGATCAGTACAGGCAGCAGTGTTTCTGAAAGATCATCATTTAGTCAGGACATGGATTCACCAAGAGTGGGAATGGATGAAAGGGGAGCTTACCCTGCGCCCTACCCTTCCCCTATGCATAGATCTCCGTCAGGGGCCTCCCCTGTGATGGCCTCGCCAAGGCCAGATATCTCTCCGAAAGCTGCAGCTTACCCAACGATAAATGGACAGATCAGGGTTGGGTTCTACCAAGACACCGTTTCTAACAAAAGCAGTCCCGATAAATCTTGTAGTCCTCGAGAAAATCCCCAGTCACCTTATCCCCATTATTCCGAACATGTTTATACTCCTAACACCACCGAGAATGCGTACTACTCCTACGCGAATTCGCCGTATTATACCCATGCTCCTAATTACTCGAGTACAAACCCCACTCCCCCTTATAATCATGAAGGCTCCACCGCCTACTACGACACTAGTAAGTCTACGACTCAAAACTATACTGCTAACTCGCCCTTGAGTAATCAATCCTCTCCGGCACATCAACATTCGCAAAATGTGCATTCCCCACATTCTCCTAATGTTCATTCGCCACATTCTCCCACCATTCATTCTCAACATTCTCCCAACGTTCACTCCCCACATTCACCCAACATAAATCTAGAGCTCTCGCCAGGAGGAGCATCACCTAACTCTCCTGGTGTCTATTCCCAGCACTCACCCACTATCTTGCCGCAAAACTCCCCCAACGTGCATTCTCAAAATTCTCCCGGTCTACATATCCAGCTCTCTCCGAAAATCCAAAATTCCCCTGCTCAGCATTCTCCCATCATGCATTCCCCTAGCTTACACTCTCCCAACTTACACCAACAACCTTCTGCCAATTTACACCAACAGAATTCTCCCAACGTCCTCCAACAACAACAGCACTCTCCTAATATTCTCCAACAACACTCACCTAATGTTCTCCAACAAAGTTCTCCAAACGTGCAGGCACAACAGTCTCCCAACATCCAACACCAACATTCTCCCAATGTGCAGACGCAGCCTTCCCCCAACATTCAGGCGCAACCTTCGCCAAGTGTCAACACCGATTCGCCAGATACATTCCAATCGCAAGAGGAGCAGAACAAAATGTCCGAAAAACTCTTGATGCAGCAGCAGTCACCTAGTGCTATGTTTCCTGTGAAGAAACGGGTATACAATGACAACGAGTTGTTGCAGATCAGCAATCACAAGTACCAAATCGATCCGAAACTGTCGCAGCAAATTGAGATGAGGAGGAATGCCCAAATTACCCACCAGACTAGTCTGGAGGGTATACAAGGCCTGGAAAAAAAGGATAGGCAAGATAGTAAGCCTTATATCCAAAACATTCCCGATCCGAAGTCATTGAACCTACAGTCGACTGATGAGTACTTTGACAAGACCTCTGCTGGACAAACAGCCATGCAGACTCAGGCACAACAGTCGAATTTGAGGCCGACCTACTCCGTACCTTCTACAGTTCCTAGCACTTTCAATACGTCTTTCAGCGGCGACTCGAACTACCCTCTCAATGTGCCAAACGCACGGGGCCTAGCCACTGCCCAACAGCCCAAAATGGATCTGTCAAAGTACATGAATATGGGTTACACGGGCCCTGACGTCAACTATACGAGGTCCTTGCAATTCAGCAGGTCGGAAATGAATTTCACCACTGCAGCTACTACTACGTCACACAAGCAGTCCCACCAAACTTCCGGGGGATCGAACTTGGGTGGCATGTCGTCTAGTGATATTTCGGTGCGTTATGGGGACCCCAATATGGCTTTGCAACAGATGGGATACAAGGGAGTGGAGATTAGCAATTCGGCCGCGAATCCTCAGCAGGCCCACTCGAATTTGGAGGCATCCATGCACTCCAACGCGAGAAGCGAGAACATCGGCGATAGGCTGTCCCAGATGCAGGACGTTTCTAATGTCAATGCGTCCAGATACAATTCTTCGGTTGACGTTAGCAGGAGTATGGCGAATCTGTCTCATATAGTGGACAGATTCGGTAATGACGATCGAATGATGGCAGGGCTCCAAACGGCTGCTTCGTACTACACGGACAAGGGTCTGGGCACCTCGCATCTGTTCAACAAGCAGATGTCTGGCAATGCTGCTGCCACGTTGCCGATGTTCAGTCAGGCTAATATGGCGGCCATGCAGAGCTACAACCAGAACGTCCAGAGTAGTACGACGGCGATGTTCAATAGGCAAATGTCGGAGTTGCAGAATTCCGCTGCCATGCAGAATGATCTGAAAGTGAATCAGCAGATGCAGGTGCAGGAGAAGAAGAGCAAAAAGCGGAAGAGCAAAACGGGTAAGTGGAATATGTTTGATTTTGAAAATGAAGTTGAAAGGATCTTGAAGGAAGTCATTCAGCAAAGTTAACAATACTGATTGAAATGTAATTCATAAAATCAAATCATTTCTTAGTACTTGAATTCCTTAGTGTTAAGAAAACCGAATCACATACAAAAAATCCCCAAAATACCACTTAGTTTGAAGAAATAACTAACATTAAATGCCAGATGAAGTAGTAGTCCATTGTAGATGTAGTGTCTGGTCATTTTCATTCTGAATGTTAACCTATTTAGGCTATATTCCGAATTCAACTGGTCAGTACTGTCAGTAGATCCACTGAATCTGCTGAAAATCTGTGTTCCGAAATATAAAATCAAAAATACAGTGCTGTATTTCGGGACACGTTTTCATGGTTTTCATCAGTAGTCAGCAACAGTTGATCAGCTGGTGAGATTTGTCAGTCTGTAGTTTCTCGTTTATCTGGACTAGATATTCAATATTTAATATTTAACATGGAAGAGCAATCGATTCTTGAAGCCTCCATAGTTTCTAAGATTATTGACTATGACGATTCAAGCTCGAGTGATGAAGAGAATACTTGGACATTTTGTTGCCATTTATTTTTCATGATGCACCAGATTGAGAATTGAAAGATTCATGGAAAACGTAATGATGATGAATTTAGTAGACATCCCAGGTTTATTTAGTGATTTATTTAGCCAATGCTGCTTCTTGTTTCGAAACCTCTACTACTCCATACTCCATTTTATTCTCAGTATATTATTTAAATAGCAGCTATTTTCTGATATTGAAAATAATATCATAAACAATGGAAATGAATGTTACATTCCTTCCCCCTCTGAAATAATGACAGTTCACTGAAGCCACACTACCTTTTGATACTCAGCAATTTCAGCAGAATATGTTGAGTCGAAATATTTGGAATGGATAGTATGTCTGCTCACGAGAATCTGTCACTTTCAGTGAATTTTTTGATTACGGAATGAAAAATCAGCAGATTCAGTACTGTCAGTTGAATTCGGAATATAGCCTTAGTAGGTGACAGTTATAATATTTTTTATTTAGTTAGAAAATATATTCAAAAACTGCCTCTTTAGACAACATTTGCAGTAAGCTAGTGCCTTCTATTTTGATCCATTTGTTTTCCTTACCTTAGATATCTAATCAAAAATATCTCTTGTATGAATCATTCGAATTACTTCATCATCATCATCGCCTTTATTATTCCCAAGAAACAATTGACGTATATGTTTATAACGGAACATTAAAAAGAGGTTGAGCTGATCCTTGTTTGACTGAATGAATGATTAAAATAATTGATATGTTTTATGATCTCTTTATGGATGACATGACAAAATTCAGACGAATAATATTCATTTATACACAAAGGTAGTAAAGAATGTCATTATTAACCAGGGACCAAGATTATATCCCGAGTTAAGGGTTCTGTTATATAATAATATAATTTCTTTATTTCTGGTCCCACCATTGATAGAAGTTCATCAAATTAAAGGCACGTTACACGAAAGTAATTGAAATATTTATTAAAGTCATTCAGTCGCATTTATCGAATGAGGCTGTATAATGATCTCTATACATTTTTCGGCATTTAAGTATGCCTCGAACACTACAGCTAATTTTTTGCGTCTGGATTAGCTCTATAGATGATACAAATGATGCATCGAAATCAATTCATCCTGTGGAGAAAACTTAATCAAATGAAGAAATGATAAGATGAATACCTAATTATCATTCTGTACTTAACTGTAGTCTATAGTGCCTAGTCTCGTATTTTTTCGGCCTCTGCTGTCCACTCCCTAATTCCCCAATTTTGATGTTATCAAAATAACAACACATTTATTCATGTATACTGTGTAGTTATGATTCCATTCGAATTCGTAAAAAAGTTCAAATATTTCAACTTCATTGCGATTTTCGCAGTCACCATTTTATTCGCATTAATTTTGCGGAATTCGTTGTTACGTAAACTTCGCCATGGAAGACAATAATTCGGGTGTGCGCACCAATACTCAGTGGAGTCGGGAGTAGGTGAAGAAAATAATAAAAAAAAACTGTTGAGTGCCAAGTATCACACCCCCAAATTCAGAAAGTTTTCTCAGTCTTGTAAAAACCACTAGAAAGACCCCAAGAATTTAGCCTACAGGTTGAACTCAATAAAAAAAATGTATTCCAGGGTGAGGGGAATATAATTGAATTCAAATTTCAATTTGTGATCTACCTAACTCTGGAGAGGACTATTTATAATTCTAATTATTATATCCATGGAAGAAAAGAACAGTAAACCGAGCTGTGAATTACAACGTGATAGTCAACATTCACTGAGAATACTGAATCAATAGTCTCACAAACTCAAGTTCATCAATATCAATCAATCTCTCGTCATGACCCCGGTAAACCAATATAAAAATCCACTAGGTGGTACTTATCACGGCTCCAGCGAAGTTGAGGATGACTTCATCCGATTGTAGATGAGTGTCTCTACGATTTCCTTATCCTCAAACAACCAACGATGTTTCGGACCATAAGTGAATATCACCCAGTATATCATTCATATTTTAGTTTACTCTATACATTATATTTGCTATACGACACCATGCGAAAACGTCTCCAAAGCAGATAACCCAAGCATTCATAGACGTTTTGATTATGCTATCAACTTATAAATCCTTCTTCATCAAGGCATCAAGACAAATCAATTTCCATAATATAATAACGAATATCCCAAAAATTCGTCTCATTCAGCGAACAATGCGAAGAAATCCGTAAAACGATACTTATAAAATATTTCGCAGATCACCGTCGTTCTTGCCACATATAAATTATTTTTCTCCGGTACGGCGTACCTACCTATCTCGGCCGTCAGTCGATCGAACTTTTCTTTTTTTGCGTATTACAAGAAAAGATAAAAACACGCTAGAAACATAAAGGGTCGTCCGAGAATCAGGATACCCACACTAAATTTTGAAATGATTGAAATTTGGTCACATCATACAAGCATGAACATATCTTCGAAACATGTCCCTTTGATTGACTACATCATTATTAAAGTTGTGGAGATGACTTTGAGCTTTCCTTCTTCCTTTTGAAAAATTCCACTCCACTTTGAGCAAACATGGACTTCTATTAGAGATTATAGTTTTGATTGATTGATGATTCATTTCGCAGCCGCCGCCTCTGCCGCCCCCTCCGACACCCAGCCGCCCACCAATGCCGCGTCGACGACGGGCGCAGGCGCGACGGTGGGCCACGGCTTCCAGTCGTACGCCGGCCTCAAGGCTGCCGGCGATCCCGGCGCCATCTCGTTGAAGACGTCCGCCGCGGTGCCGGGCAGCGCCTTCAATTTCGGCCCGCCGGCCGCCGGCCTCGGCCTCTACGCCGACAAGGACCAATACTCGAACTTCCTCGACGAGTTCCGATCGGCGCCGGCCAACTACTATATGGCAGCGGCGGCGGCGGCGCACCATCGGGCCACGCCGGAAGGTAAGAGAGGGTCCACACGAGCGTCGGGCGACGCACGTTAATCGGGCGTTATTCGCGAAAATCACGAACCAATAGATGGCGCTATCAAATGTCAAATCAACGTCGAATTTCAAACTGAGTATGAACAACAAAAGCTGCCCTTTGTACCCATGGCAAATTAGTTACTTTGAAATCCTTTTGCAAAATAGAAAATAATAAGTTGACTTCGTAAAATCTTTATAATTAACGTACAAGGTTTCCAGTATTGAAAAAATAACTTTTTGTGCAGAGAAATTGTCGTTTTGATGTGAACAATGGCGGTATTCATCATCGATGTCACATAACAATTCCACTGTTTTCAAACATATGGAATGGTCGGAATGTTCCACTCAACACTTGCATGGATTGGAATGGAACCATAAGGAATCAGCTATTACAACAATATGGTATAGCTAGGTATGAAGAAATAATTGAATTCATCAAGAAATATATAAAGGAGATGGAATTCTAGTGAAGGGGTTGGAAAAGTAGATATCGTTGGTGGGACTGTTAAGAATGAACAATATCATTGATTTACATAAACAAGGATCCCGAGCAATTGAGGTCTTCTAGTTATTCTCAAGATCCAATCATTGCAACCAACATTTATATAATGATTCTTATTGTGCTTCAAAAAATGTATATTTTCCAAGGAAGGTACTGGTTTCTTCATTGTAAACAATAAAAGTTCATGCAATTATTCGAGTTTTTTCATTAGGGAAAAATGAGGTTCTGGAATATGCACTTTTACAAAGGAATAATGTTCAAATAAAACACATAATTCTGAAAGGAAATACTCATTTTTCTTTATTTTCACTAGATACAACCAAATACAGCATAACAACAACAAGAAACACACTCATGGATTATAGTTTGATCGCACAGTTATTCACTTATCAGTTTGTGATTTTTTATCAAAATGGGGCAACAAAAAAACATACTCATACATTTTGGACACATTATTGTGTCATTGTCATTTGATATTTGGGAATAATACCTTTCACCATTTTTATTCACAGAAACTAATAGAAGTTTTCCTCCTTGTCCAATTTATATGTCCACTTCTTTCATTTAAGGCAATTGGTTTTCTGTTTGCTGTTCTTGATGTTATTGTGGTGGCTAGAAAACTTTATCCATCATCCATCAATAATCGTCTCCAGTTCCATATCATCCCAGATATCATCATCATCATCATCATCATTTGTAATAGGTCCAGAATGATTTTCAATCACATCACCTTTGATTGATTCCATGATCTCTATCACTTCACTATTATTTTGAACTATCTAATGGAATTCTGATGTGTTATTGTCGATTCAATTTGTTATTGGGGACCTTCAAATTCATTGTTCTGATTTTTTATTGTCAATTCCATTTATTTTTGGGGACCTTCAAATTCATTCATTCATGAAATATCACAATATAGGTGAGGAGAATCTCTATTATCATGTAGGTACTCACTTACTTTCTGTATAAGTATGGTCCTTTTGGTTGCATGTGATGATTTCAGAATATATACTGATGGTTCTGCAGTTTTTTAACGAGTTTTGGTGGCTGAACAAAACTTCCTGGATTTCGTTTCAACTATTTTGTGAACTTGCTGCATGTTTCGAAAAAATAATAGCAATTACCAGCACTCAGACACAAAAAACAATGGTCGCCATATTTCTTGTCATTGTTGTTCATACTCGCAAGACTTGTAAAGTTAGTGACCAGAGGCCGCACACTTCGTGAATCTCGCGAATTATGGATCAAGCGACCAAATCTTGCGGCCACATGTTACGAGCGTCACCCCTGTTTATAGATACCATAACGCATCTCTTAACGTTCCGCAATCAGTACCGTAAGACGATGAATTGTAGTTGGCATTCATAGATTTTCCTGAATTTGACACTCGCCAATCTTGTCATTGTCATACAATGTGTTATTATCAAGTATTATTTTTGGAATTAGCATTGTTTCAAAGCACGAGAATCGATCTGTTCAAGGTATTCCAACTATACTAATGGGTGGTAACCTGGATTATGTTATGTTATGTGCGGCAGCAATAGGAGCTTTCGCAATTCGGTAATGTCCTCAGTTCAAGATGGGACCTCTGAATAGGAATTGAAAATCTAAAGGTTTCTTTGAAGCTATAAACCTTCATGTCCATCAGAACAATCCCCAATCCCAACAATTTCTCAAATATACAGTTTGCATCAATTACTTGATTCAACACCAATGAATGAATAAATTGAAGTTACCAGATATATTTATAGTCCGTGAAATATCCGTGCAATCTCCTTCTTCCAACTAGTCAATTGATGGCATTTTTGTTATTTTTGTAATACCTGTTTGACTTATATAAAATGAAATAATATTATCGATGCTGCTTCTCAGGACTTCTCAATCAATATTGTATGTAAAACAATTATATAATATCATTAATCATGTCCTAATGCAAATCAAACGATAAACCCAACCTCCCTTCTGCATGACGTTCTGTCACCGTTTCACAACACGAACATAGAAAGATGGAAATGGGCATCTCTTCGCGTTGCAGCCACGATCAGTGTTTTGCGGAACGATATTCTCATAGTGGAAGGAGAAGATGGTGTGCCTACGCGCATATTATGTGACGTCATCTGGGATACCAATATATCAGCTGCTAGTCACAGACAGATACCGTTGCCATGGGCGTGCGCAATGAATTCAATCATGTTTATTGAAATTCCTATAAGTTTCTCGATCTGTTTAGAAATAATTCAATTTATATAAACAGGTACCTATTCCTTCGATTTCACTATTTCATTGATTCTGGAAATTGTGATCTTGAGGTAATTCGCAATCGCAAATAGCAATTACATACGAATTATCATGCAATGCCAATCCCATCTGAATGATTCACTACTGTTTCGATTCTGACAGATTAAAATTCAGCAGTCAACGACATTGACGTTGCTTCTGCTCCGACATCGATAACAGAGTATCAATTTTTGCCGTTTTGTTATTCAAATCTTTGCTGCAATTCATATTTTGTGAAAAATTCAGAGTTTTGAATTCATTTTCAAATGTTTCTGACTTGATATTCGGAAGATGTTCTGTAGGAATGGCATCTTGTTTCAAATATTTGTGATTTTTTGGAGCTGTGTAATTCAAGAACCGTACTTTCGCACTTGTTCGGGAACATTTTGCATGGAAATGTTTTGAAGAAATACGTGCTGTAATATGAATGTGATGATAATATGATAGGTGAATACTTTGGAATGAGGATATAAGGAATATAAGGTAGGTACCATTATTTGAGTTTATATTCTGTCGGCAGCAAGGTCCCATCGTTTCATTAGGTCTCCATTCTTGGAAAAGCAGAAAAATTCAATATCTGTGCCTTTTGTGTTAGTTGGAATTTCCATAACCAGAAACGAAACAAGGAGGCATTTCGAAATTATTTCATTCAATTTATGTACTTATATAGTATCTGAAGTTCGAGACATCAATCACGAAAACAAATAATAACTAATGTAAAAACTTCACAAACGATAAGATTTCCACAAGATTATGAAAAATGAATTTTGTGGAAATCTTATCGATTGTGAAGTTTTTACATTTGTCATGGATTTCCATCAAGTAACGGCCGAGTCAATTCAAAAAAACGAATAATAACAATGACAGTTATATCCATCCCAGTTGACGTCATGCGCAGAACAAGACGAGTTTGAGCTGTCTGTTGAGCACACCATCTTCTCTTTCCACCATAGATATTCTGGAAAAATCCTATGTTTCATCTTCTATCGTGTAACGGAAGTACTTGCGTCACGTTATGTTATTGAATCTATAAATCAGGGGTCAGTTTGTTGACTATACAGGGTGTCCCATAAGTGATGGATCAAAATGAGTGGAGTGGGATCATTTGTAATCAAACTAACGGTATATGTTGCTATCAAATTTTTTGTGAAGTATTTTTTAAATCATTTAAAAATAGACTTGAATATTTCATTCGATGACAAAACTCAAGGAAAACAACATTTTTCTCAGGTAATTGATAAGAAGTAATACATGTCATAACATTATTTCTGGGGAAATGTGCATCCATGTGGATATAATTTGTGAAAGAAAAAATAGTTTTATTGTAATTAATTTTTTTCATAGAAATGAAAAAACATTAATAACATTTGAACCGTCAACAATTGGATAACTACATATACGGCTAGTCTGATTGGAATATAAATTAACGCATCTTTGGAGCAGTGATTGTGGTGATTGAAGAAAGTTCTCTGAGACCGAGAGAATACGTCATTTTATCTGGGAATGAAGATATGAAACCATATGGTACCTGTCTTGCTTGAAACAATCATACGAATGTCTTCTAAATGTTTTCATCTTTCAAAAAGTTTCGTTCTTCGTCAATCTAATTTATTTTTTTGACAAATACCAACGTATTTCTTTGTAGTGAGACGGGGGTAACGGTGGTGGGAACAGAATGACGTTTACAAATAGAGAGGTTATATTTATATATTTGGGCTCCGAATATTTTCAAAATCATAATACTATTAAAAATCAAGAAAATGAATTAACGCATATTTGGAGCAGTGATTGTGGTGATTGCAGAAAGTTCTCTGAGATCGAGAGAATACGTCATTTTATCTGGGAATGAATATATGAAACCATATGGTACCTGTCTTGCTTGAAACAATCATACAAATGTCTTCTAAAGGTCTTCATCTTTCAAAAAGTTTCGTTCTTCGTCAATCTATTTCAATTTTTTGACAAAATCAACAGTCATTCACGCCATTCTTGTAGTGTGACGGAATGAAAAGTAGCAACCGGAATCGGAAAAGTTACAAATAAAACGATATATCAAAAGTGATTCCGGTGGCGGAATCGGATATATAAAACGGAACTAATATGTGACAGTCAGATCCGCCTGATGTTGCCGCATTTGTAATTTTGTACCTCGAATTACATATTTGAATAAAAAAAAAGGAAAAGCAGGATGAAAAAAGCGTGAAGAGTGAAATATTCATATGTGGATCATTTCAAACTGTATATTATCGCTTGAGAGAAGACATCGGGTCGATTCTGTTCGGATCTTTTCATAACATTGCTAATAACAATATTGTTATGATCATAACACATAACAATTCAATACTGGTATCCACTGTTTTTTGGCCAATTCGATCTTGTAAGGTACGTAAGAAAACGCGTTTCGTATTGTTTTTGTCGATTCAACATCATCAAGATCTTCGAATAGACCAGGGGTCTCCAAACTACGGCCCGAGGGCCACATCTGGCCTGCGGAGAGCTAGCATACTTGAAAACTCCTTTTAGAGAACATATTTTTTATAGCAAATTAAATTTAGTTTACTGAAGTATTCTAATTTTATGTTGAATAATTATTGATATGACATCTACATTGATATGGTCATGGGCTAACTACTCATAACATTGTTGTAGGCTGATTGTTATTGTTTATGTGATAAGTTGGATAAAGAAACACAGAATTGTAATGAGTAAAGACATGTATAATAAGAAATTTTGTGTCCACCAGATGTCGTGTCACGTTACTCCTCATGGCTCGTACTCTACGACTAATCTAGAAATTACAGATAATGACACTAAAATTGATAATATTTTGTGTGTGTCTTGCCGTTTTGCAAACTTTAGTCCGATTTGCAGCCTTTTTTAAACGTTGCGTACTTTTTCGGACTTTTTTCATTTTTTGTTCTGAAATTGTTCTATCCGTCATTCGGTTGCCCCCTTACAAGCAACCTTCAGAAGTCTTCGAGAGTCTTGTGCGAGCAAGGAATGCCGAGGGCCTCATCTTTTAACGTCTGATCCCAAACACTTTCTTGGGCCATCAGAAAAATTTCTGCAGTCGATGGGAATCGAACCCACGACCGGCAAGCGAATGCGTATTAGAATATAGACACTCTGTCCGCACGGCTACCTGGCCCTGGCTTTCATCAGTGGACTATTTCACTTTTTACCACCAGCAACAATGATAAAATGACAAGGGAAAAAGCCAAATACTCAAAGTGGAATGCAATGGTCACAAAGAGAGAAACTCAAAGTCATTACCACAACTAGTTCATAAAATGAACGACAATGGTAGATAACGAGAGGAAAACAACTACTTTCCTGGCTATATGCCACGCAGAACATTGCATTACATCCTCCCGGAACCTATGCGATAGTTCGTGGGTCAGGTTCGCACCAGATAGCGGTCAAGAAGCTATCTGGGACAGCCCTGTACTGATGAGAGCCAAGAGCTCGAAACCGGTCTGCAGGTAGTCAGCGTTCCTGAACCACTTAAGCGCAGCTCAGCGTTTAGGAAGGAAACACTTGCGATTTTATTCGTTTATACGAACTATCGCATAGGTTTCGGGAGGATGTAATGCAATGTTCTGCGTGGCATATAGCCAGGAAAGTAGTTGTTTTCCTCTCCTTATCTACCATTGTCGTTCATTTTATGAACTAGTTGTGGTAATGACTTTGAGTTTCTCTCTTTGTAATGATAATATGGTTTTGGCCCTCGGAACTTACTGGAGTAATCAGTATAGCCCTAAGGCTGGAAACATTGGAGACCCCTGGAATAGACGATTCTCCATTTTCCAGGTGGCGAAAAGCAGTCTCGGCCCGCCCACCAAAACTCCAACCCCCAGTCGAATCCCGCATACCCGTTCCTGGGAGCCCCGCAGGCCAGGTCGTCGTACCCGCTGGGCGGTCCGTTCATACCCAACGCGCAAGCGCAGCTCATGGACACCAATTCGCCGCTCTACCAGCACTACTTGCAGGCGGGGCTCCTAGGGGCGCACGGGGCTTATCCGCCAGGGTACCACCCTGCGCTCAGCATGAGGCAGCCCTACGATTCCATGACGAGGCCGTCGTGGCTCTAGTTGTAAGTTGGTGCAGTTTTAGTATTTTTTCCTACCAAAGACTTTATTTTTATTTTTTGTACATATGCGTGTAAAGTGTATATATTTTAATACTGTCTGTAGGTTAATCGAGGAGGTGGTACATTCATTATTCCAGGTTTTTTTTGGGGGATTTTCTCTCCTCATTTCTATAAAATGAGAATATGAATATTATTTCAATATACGTGTAATAATGACAAATCAGATGATTTGCCCCAAAATGTCACTGCGTTAAAAGTATTTTCCTATCAGAGAGCCTAAATGAAAAATTCACCAGCTTGTCAGTGACAATTTGTATTGAAAAAGGTTTGGAGAAGAGGAATAAAAGTATCAAATTTTCACTTAGCTTCTCCCGTTTCAACATAAAAAATGGTTATTTGAATAGCAAATTCGTATCTGTCTTGAAACTTTTCAGTTCTCAGTGACAATTGGTGACGTTGGCAATCAAATGAGTTACAGGATGTTTTCAAATTAATCTTGAATTTACCATTTTCAGATTTCAGTAGTGAATACCATGTTCTATCTGTATCAACTGAACAAGAAGCAATGCTATTGTCTCCGTTCTGAAGAATTCAAGCAGATTCCTTGATTTTTCTCTTCTGGTTGTCATTATATTGTACTTATGTTCCTTCGTCCTTACTGAAAGAAAATACAATGAGATCAATTCTAACTCAAACAAAGCTGATAAAAAAAATACCTTGTTTGTGGAAAGTTTTATACAGGTGAAACCAAGAGACCTCTTTTAGTAAGGACAAAGGAACATAAGTACGATATAAAGAAAAGACACATCGACGAATCGAAACTAGCTAAACATATCCTTACTGAAGATGGACAACATATGGCAGAGTGGAATAATATAAAATCATTGGAAAAGAAGATAACAACCAGAAGAGAAAAATAAGGAATCTGCTTGCATTCTTCTGAACGGAGACAATATAATTGCTTCTTGTTCAGTTGATATAGTTAGAACATGGTATTCACTACTGAAATCTGCAAATGAAAATGGTAAATTCAAGATTAATTAATGGAAACATTATGTAACTCATTCGATTGCCAACGTCACCAATTGTCACTGAGAACTGAAAAGTTTCAAGACAGATACAAATTTGCTATTCAAATAACCATTTTCCATGTTGAAAACGGGAGCAGATTCGTTCCCTAAACATCCAAAGCTAAGTGAAAATTTGATATTTTTTCTATATACCTTTATTCCTCTTCTCCAAACCTTTTTCAATACAAATTGTCACTGACAAGCTAGTGAATTTTTCTTTTAGGCTCTCTGATAGGAACATTCTTTAAGCACAGTGACATTTTGGGGCAAATTGTCCATACTACACGTATATTGAAATAATATTCATATTTTTATTTTATAGAAACGAGGAGAAAACCCCAAAAAATCTGGAATAATGAATGTACATATTTATTTTACATAGGTACGTACTGGGCAGTTTGTTGTCTTACATTATATTGTGAAGTTTAACTACGAGAAATTTGTACATTGGTGAATGTTCATATCAAATATGGGTTCTGTTCATACACTTTCGAGGGTTTATTTGTTATATTAATTTTAATTTCCCGTGGTTCTTTCTGGACAAAACTTTGTTGGACCTTGAATAATTACAATATGAAACTTTGGCATGAAGGTGATGGGAAACTTTGAGAAAACACAGGTACTGAGCTGTGTTTGGAACTGTGTGTGAAAAGAAGTAAATAAAGGTAGGTTTCATAGCTAAGCTAGTGGTGGAAAAAACTTATTTATTTGCATTATAATCGTTTAAAGGCATTTCTGAAACGCACCAAATAGATTATCATAACCAAAATTGTTGGTACCGTCAGAGATTCACGCTGATTCACGTCGATTATGAGATGGAACTGGTTCCCGTCGAGCTTGCGCATTTAGGACCTGTCATATACCTTACTCACTCTTACTCATGTTTTAGAACATCAAGTGACATAAGTCGATGTCATGAATGACAGTTTGAATCCGTTTTCACACGAACAATTTGGATGAAATTTTGTAGTTGTTATAGGTCGCGTGCACGATGACCGACCCTGGAGGTAAACTATTGAAACACAACCTTTCTTTTTTTATTTGTTTACAGAGGAATCAAAAGATTGAAATAGTTTTTCACAATATTCTGTCAAAGGAATCGTGTTTTTTGCGCTATTTATTAACTCAAGCATGCCTTCTGATTGTGATGTTGTACAATGCACAAAAAATCCAGCGAGAGACGAAGGAATATGATTTTTCAGGTAAATTGCGCTATTTATTAACTCAAGCATGCCTTCTGATTGTGATGTTGTACAATGCACAAAAAATCCAGCGAGAGACGAAGGAATATGATTTTTCAGGTAAATAGTAATTACACATAGTTTTCAGTATGAAACTTCGTCATTTCTTATTCAAATTCCTTCTGCCACTTCTGCAATAGAAGCTAATACTGCTAATAGATTGAAAATGTCTACAACACACACGATTATATTTCGTCAGCATACCAGTCCACCCGTTTGATTATATAAATCCAATATTCTTGCATTATTCAAGAAATTCCATGTGTATTTCCATCAGCTCCTATTGCAGAAGGAATTCCGATGGGAAATCAGAGAAATTTCAGAAGTGAAAACTATAATGTGAGTGACTAGTAGGTACTTACTTTTAAATCATAATGTACCAACAGGATTCCTTCGTCTTCTGTTGCAGTTTTTGTGCATTGTACAACAGCACGATGTGATGGTATGAGCGAATTAATAAATTGCCGATAAATACGATTCGTATGCCAAAATAATTGTGAAAAACTATTTCAATCACTTGTAAACAAATAAGAAAAGTGAGGTTGTGTTTCAATGTTGTTCCTCCGGGTGATTCATCTGCATGAGTTCTTGCATGCAATCCATAGTGGTCTAGAGAGGTTCTATCGCGGTGGTCACAGTAGACAGTTTACTTTTCAAGGTTAATAATTTGACTTTTCCCGCCATGCCAAAAAATATAGTGAGAAATTTGCACATTGGATATTTAATAAAATGTATTGGTTTGCCTCTTATTAGGGACATTTTGAAAACACAAGTCCCCCTGAAGCTACCTGAATGCTTTCTAGCATAAAAAATAGACTGTCTCATCCTCTCAGTTCATATTGAAATATTACAAATGGATCTCCAGTAGCTTGCGGTTCGCAAATCTGATAAGCCTATTGAATTTTGGTAGTAAGATACTTTTACCTGTCTACATGGAAGTTTCCCAACATCTTCATCTTTTTTTCAACTTGCACCACCACAACTCCTACTTTATGTGGGCATTCCTGAATGAAAACGCAAAAAAACCCGAGACGTTTGATTAATTCTGAATTTTGTAAGGGTGTTTGTAAAAGTGCAATTGGATCTTTTAGTATTAATTGCCTATAGGATGATGCAAAAGCTTCAAAATCACTGCCTGGTACCATTTCCAAATTATCATTTATTTTATAATTATGACTTTGGAGTACGAAAGTAATTGAGATCTCACTCATCATTACTAAAAGACAGAATTGATTCCTATTAATTTTTGTGCCATGGCCATTTTATTGAACAAAGCTTTAGGTTTACTACGAATCTAGTATGTTCTATAAAAACTGCAGAGAATAACAAACCAGTGAAATACCAGAAAACGTGTTTTCGTTTTGTAAGATTATGAAATTCATATGGAGACAGGAAAATTCGTACTATTTTATGAAGAGCCATGTATTTTAGAATTGTAATATTTTTATTCTTAATTGTTGAAAAAATTATACATATTTGGCACTCAGCATCATCAAAACTAAATGAGACAATCTTTCATTCTTTTTCATTATTAATAATATGATTTTTACTATTCATCATCATTATGTCTTTATTTTCGTGCATGTAAATTGTTTGTTTTGTTTTTTTTAGTACAACGAATATTCTTTTAGAAATGTCTAGAATAATAATAATGGTAATAATTATTATTATTTCTGAATTCCCACAAATTGAATAAGAGAATTTCAAATGAAAAAGGCGGTGGCAACCCTGACAAATTCAATATGCTTTTTGTATAATCCTATATGTAGAAATCAGGAAGAGATAACATATTTCTATATGTAGTATTTCTTTATTGTTCTGTGATTTTTTATATATTTTTTGTTGGTAATTGTAATTTTAGTTTTTTGAAATATTTACGAATCTCGTTTTAGATAGTATATCATAATTTTATGTAATCATGATTATATGAAGTGAGAGCACTATTTTACCTCATATTTGTTTTTCAGTTTTACTTATATGAAATTTGTTATTTTACACTAAAATTTTATTATGCACCAGTTGGGTGAAATAAATGTACATTTAACTAGAATGTAAATACAAATAAGGAACAAATTCAGTACATTTTGACTAATTGAAATTTATTTATTGTTCTCGAATGTGACTCACGATTCTTTATGTAAATTTGTTTTGGAATAATTTTATTAAAGTTCATTTTTTCTCATCAGCACACATTCCTGAATTATTATGAATGCATCTATTTTATTTAATGTTATTTTTTGTTCAATACACGAACGGTGGGAAGTGGGAAGTAAAAATTCAGGAGTTATATGCACTCAATGAAATGATAACTTTCAAAATCTTCAAACACCTTTTTCGTTATCTTCCATATATTCGTCCACAAAGTGCTTCCATAGGTCAGCTACCTTTAATACTAATTCACAACTGTGGTAGAATATGTCAGAAAGACCATTGTTATTTTCAGTGCTATGAACTCCACTTCCAAACCTTGAACAGCACTGTAAAATTATACACATCACAACTCCATTCAATGTTAATCCTGTAATTCCTATATATGTTATGGTTTCGCCTTAAAAATGAAAAAACGACAATAGGAAATACAAAATATCAAATGTGACATCAACTACGACTAAAATTGTCCCAAAAGCTTTAATCAAATTATTGTACAAACATTATATACACATTAAAATTTAGTTGATCATTTGGAAAATGTACATAAGTGTAAATCGAGACATTATGTATTGTTGTACAATGAAGTAATAAATATTTAGTGATTTGTACTGATGAATTTGATATTTACCGGTTCCTCTGGAATCCTGTTCATCCTGTAAACCATCCCAATTTCTGAGGAGTTTTGGGACTGCAACTCAAAGTTCCGCAATATCTATGAGATAATAGTATATTATTCAACAAGCATATAATGAGGGGCTATTATTCACAAAGGTTAAGTTTATGTCACGAGCATAGCGAGTGGCATAATTCACCTGAGTGAATTCATAGTCCCATTCCAAATATGTTCATAGAGTTCAAAGTAGTTTTCTTGATATAATAATTATGATTTATTCGTTCTTTGCAACACACAGACGGAATGGAGAAGACCACTGAGAGATGAAAGCCGTCAAAACCCCTTTCAATCGATTAAGCATGATTCTCATATAATGTACAATCAATATTATTCGTAAAAGTTGAAGAGAATAGAATTTTTTGCGTTCTGAAATCAGCATATTCCATTCGATATTTCAAAAAGCAGATATGAAGGTGGAGCCGTGACGTATTAGTCCCGAACTGTAGCTATCTCTCTCTGATACCTGGCTATTCTGCAGTGTTGCAGTGTAATTGGTCGGCTCAAGGACAATAGGCGTGTCGGGACTAATACGTCACACCAATGAATTGACACCATTTCGATTGGCGCAGGAAGTGTGTGTTTTGAAATGAATATATTTCAACTAACTTTTTTTATCGCCCTAGTATAAATGAGAAAATTCAAAAGTATATTATTGGTAGTTTTTCGTTATGGAGCTCAAGATGTTGTGAAAAATCAGTGGCCTCCTCCATTGAAATGTTGAGAGATAATAATGTGGCTTTATGATTTTGGAATCTCTGAGGCTGATCACTGAAATCATCCAGAAGTGGAATCATTATAGTGATTATAAAAAAAAGTTTCAGGATTTATAGTCTTACCGTAACGCGAAAACTATTCGCGGAATTTTCATTTATTCCGGAATTTTCATTTACAGTTTACAGAACTGAGCAAATTCTGTGCACTGAAAAGTTCAGCGAATTTTAATAATAATAATAATATAAGTTTATTCAAAAACGTTTACAAAATATACATTGGAATAAACATTAAGGTAATTTGGCAAACATCTCCAATCCTATAGGGGAGATTGAAATATTTTGCATAGTGTTAGTGTGTGTGGGAACAACATTCCCAAACAACATAAGCTATTAACAAAATCACTTGAAATGACTGATCTCCGAAAAGAATTAGCCATTGACGATGTTTCAGAATCCATGTCAGTGCTAAAGCCGTATAGTGTATGAGCAATAGCTTTATAGATTTCCTTAAAAATATGTTTTTACATCATTCCGGAGGGGGATCAATCCCTCTTGATCCCCTCCCCCTGACTACGGCCTTGATGACAAGAAAATTGTGGTAAAACTCGTGTGTAAGTGATGTTTCATTTGAATTGTTTATTTTCATATTTTTGTGTGATTGAGTAACAATGACGCTTAATTCAATTACGCACCTCTTTGAGTAATATGATGATCTCATTTTCAGCTAGACGTTTTCCAGGGCACATTCGCGGGCCATAACCAAAAGGTAATGTTGCAAACTTATGGAATTCTATGTTGCAATCACGCAACCATCGATTTGGTAGATAACTCTTTGGCTGGTGAAAATATTTCTCATCACATGATGATACTGAACTGAATGCCAAAACCAGAGTCTGAAAAACAGTTAAGCAATTCCAGATATTGTCTATATTTGTTTAACAAAAACAAATACTTGACATGGATTATTGATCCCTATTGTGATAAACCGCTAGTTGAAAAAGTTGTAAATTCTGTCAAAAATAGTTATTTATTATACAAGGAAAAAAATTAGAAGATTTTAGCTCCAGGTTGTGTTGACAAAAAACCGTCTATATAGGTTGGGATATTTCAATGAATTTTTCAGTAGTAATATTCCTAGGACATTGATAATAGACGAGATAATTCTATGACAATCGAAAGCACGTCCCTTGGTAACAGGGTTACTGTAGTGTATCAGTTTAATGAGTTGGCGGCAACAGTGCCTTTTATTATACCACCTTGACGCGATGTGTCCGGAACTGAGATACACGGGCGGGAGAGATTCAGTAGTATTCGGGCCGCTAAACTGTGTGTACACATGGACAGAATAAGATCAAGCGACAGCGAGTATGATACAGGTTAGGTGTAGTGTGTACACATGTGAGACCAGGATATTTTTTTACGTAGTGTTTATTATCCCTTTAGGAATAAAGTATCCTAGCGGGGCAAGACTGGTGACAGTTTGGTAAGTAGTGAGGTGTACACACCAACAAAACCTACGTCCGCGAGTGTAGACTGTTTCGCAGTCTGTTCAATATGCCCAACTCCGTGAACCAGGATGAAGAAGTGCAAGCAAGTAGAGTGTTTATGTTCCAGTCAAATATCCAACCACCATCGGCATTTTGTTTCAAATCGGAGGAATGGACTAAATGGAAAACACGATGGGGACGATATTGCTTAGGCAGCGGCCTCCATAACCAAAGTGATGAGTTCAAGCTGACTTCGTTCATATACACGATGGGATCATTTCGGTTGACGGAGGAAGAACAAACGTATGAAAACGTGCTGAAGAAATTCGACGAGCATTTAAGTTCGCGTCAATACAGTGCTAGAGCGGCAACGATTTTTCGGTAGCAGGCAAGGCACGAATGAATCCGCGGTAGATTTCATCGCCGATTCATATCCGATCGCATATTGTCCGATGCCTCGACTCTAGATAATGATATGACTCTTTTCAAAAAGCTACAAGCAAAATTCGACAGAAAGAATAGTTGATTCCACAACACCAGCATACACGTGGAATCCAAAGTGGCTGTAAAGAGATTAGTTATGTGCGTCCGGAACCGGGAAACAACAGCTCCAGCAGAGTCCGTACCGAACATGTCAACGGTAAACATAACCTCAAAGATACTGTCGCGTCAACTGCAAAGGCAAGAATAACGTGCAGTAAAGTACCGGAAATCTCGTCAACACGCTTTTACTTTTAGTGAGTGTCCTGCGGAGGGAACAAAGTGTAAAAAGTGTAACAGTAGCAGCCACTTGGCCAGTGTGCGCACAGCAAAGACCGTGAGGAGAATCACCAAGCACGAAGACGACGACAAAGATGAGATCTTTAGCGGCGAGATTCAGCTCGTCAAAGATGACATGGGTGAGTACCTACACTGAGTGCGATAAAATGAGTTATATCACCAGGGTGCATATAGTCGGCGCGAGTATCAATCGACGCCTGCCTTAGGTGACTACAGTGGAAGTTGAAGAACGTACTGTGGGGTTTCAAGTCGACAGTGGCGCCGACGTGTCTTTCACATTCTTTCTAGGGGTTTACCGCACAGCACCGCTAGGATCGGAGTTCAGTCTTGCAGAACTCCTGATGGGACGACGCCTTCGTAGCACCATGCCCACGTTGGGGGCAAATCTACAACGGTCCAAGGTGGACGATGATCACCATCGAGTCGCCTTGGAGAGGAAGAAGGAGAGAGCCAAGGCCAGCTACGATCGACGACACTGGGCAAGAGAACTTCGACTGTTAACTTCTGGAGAGCTAGTCTGGGTTCGAGACAAGCAAGCAAGCTTCATCGTCGTGCGTCGACGACAGGAGCCACGATCGTACGATGTCCAGTGCGAGGGCCACGGCACCTTGAGGCAAAACAGGGCTATTCGGCAGCCCATCTGAAATCGTCCCGACGAGGACGACCAGTGGGACGTCGAAGACTTCATGGAACCACGAGACCAGATCACTGCAGAACCACCTGGAGAAGTCGAACCACAACCACTGGGCAATCACCAACAAGGTCCAGATATTCGAGAGCAGGACCAACAATATGAGCCAGATGAGTTGGTCAGGAGGCCGACTCGCACACGGCGCAGGTCGGAAACATTAGTAGAAATATGCTAAGCACATGTTGAATTGTTTGTTTTGTTAGTTTGATAGTTTAGTTTTCTACACAGAATTCTATTATTTTATTCTCATTAGATCTGAGCTAGGAACCATCTACAGCTTGTTTTTGTAGAAGAGGGAGGATGTAGTGTATCAGTTCAATGAGTAGGTGGCAACAGTGCCTTTTATTATGTCGGAACTGAAATACACGGGCGGCGGGCGGGAGACTGGGAGATTCAGTAGTATTTGGGCAGCTAAACTGCATACACAACAACACAATAAGATCATTGTGACAGCGAGTATGATACAGGTTAGGTGTACACACCTGAGGCTAGGATATTGTATGAAGGCATTGAATAAATAGACTAGACTACTGAATATTACGGGAATTATTACCCCTCCAGGGATAAAGGATTCCAGCAGGGCAAGACATTACAGTTACCAAGCAATGAGCTTGAGAAATTTGTCATAAAATTATGAGGCATTTGTCAATGTCCGACGGAAATTTCTTTGAAGTTGCCAAACTCAATCATGTTGTCATAGTGACTGATAATTGCACTGAATGCAATTATCAGTATTACGTTAGTTTAATTTGTTGTGTTCAATCATATGACCACAAATTAACTGATTTCATTGGATTTTTACTTGAGCGAAATTTTCACTGACAACTTCCTTACATTTTTGGGTATGAGATATTCTCCAAATATCGTATCATTTATAAGAACTCTACTATTTGCACCTGCTGTGGGGGATAAACGAAGTGTTTCCTTAATGCATGCTCTCAAATATGAGTAACTATCTGATAGAGCTTCTTGCCTAGCTTGGTCCTGTACCTCCTTATTTTGTGCTAAGTAATGTAATGTTAAAGCTGTTATTGTAGCTGTAGTGTCTAGTCCACCTAAAAATAGGTAGGTAGGTATAATTAAGAAAAAAATAATTGTTTTCATTGATGAATAGTTCATAATAGGAAATAGGTTTGTGGCACTCTGCATTGCTTTATTTTAGGACCAATAGTTATGGACAGTAATGTCTTCTTGTTGTCTAATATATTTGAATAAATTGAATTTCAGCTATATTATGGCAAAAACTTGAAGTCTTTTAAATGGAAAATTTTTGTTTGTTTTGACCAATCTTCCTACTGTTTGTGTGTTGCATTTGTGTTTTACTTGTTGTTATATAATACTCAAATAACTATTAACAATGGGCTTATATCGCAAAAAATGTGTATTTCATAATTCGATAGAACTCACCCAAACTAGCTCACCACCGCAAACCGTTTCTTGCTGTGAGCTCCCTACGTTTTATTTTTTCGGACCTCTGAAAACAAGGCGATGATGTGACGTCAAAACCCTATTACTGAAACAAGACTATTTCAGACAGAGATGAATGATACATGATTCCTGACAAAGTGAATTAGCGCGAGATCACAGTTGAAAGAATTAATATATCAGTTGCCTCAGTCTCCGTCGGGCATTTGGTATTTTCGTTCAACTATGGCGAGATGAGGTTTCTACGTCATAAGAGGGTCCGTTTTCAGAAGGTACTATTATTTATGTCCAAAAATAAAACATTCCAGTTAATTTTTACATCGAATTATGGAATTATGTCATCAATCATTATCTCGATCATTATTAATGTATAAAAGGGTCATTATAAACATGGTTTGAATTAAAAGTTCTACTAAGGTATACACGCCCATTACTCATTAATGAATGGCATACTTATTGAAAGAACAACAAGGAAGGAAATATCTGAATAAAAACACCAATCAACAACTAGAATTGGATGAAAAACGATAGAACACACTGATGAAAAATGCTAGATAACCCTTGATAAAAAGTATACATAAATGTAAGTTAATGTGGATTATGCCACCTATAAATATTACAGAAAACTGAGGGGTACTCAGGGTAAGCTTATTTATTATTGGAAACTGGGTGATAATTATATATATCCACCAACAAACATAGTCCAGGCATTGAAATGTATGGGTCCCATTATCAGCAGTCCCAGGGTGAGTAATGAGGCCTAGTGTACAGAAACTACAGGCTCTCTCAAGTAATTGCATTAGGAAATGAATATGTTCCTTTGTTTTTCTCAGAATTGAAGGTATTTAATGATTCAATGATTTATTCATAGGGTGGAAACTCCAAGTACTTACCTAAAAATACTTCCATAGCAAGCATGGTCTGGTCTTCTTCACTGAGTTTTTTGTTTGTCAACAAAGCATGCATAAAAGGATGTTCATTCTGCAAAGATTGAGGGTCTGTATTATACTGATTTCTGATGTTTTCCAAATTATTCTTCATGACTCTGAAAAAACACATGGGACCAACATTGTCTTTTATGATCAAGATAATCATCAACAGAAAGGAGAAACATATACTAATGTGAATGTTTGATATTGCCAAGAAACAAAAACCTACCTGTATATAACTTCATGGGATGACTTCAGTAGTTTATACCCAGATGTCTCAAAAAATTTCCATAAAGGAGGCCCAATAAATGTTTTGTACATTCCATCCATGAACATTTTACTAGCATTAATTATTTCATTTGTATGTGCATCAAAATCAGTTAAACAATTGATTCTGTAACCAGGACAAACCAGAGAAATAGCTGGAAGTTGAAATAGTAGTATTGAGCCAATATTCAAGGTATACCCAAGTTATCATTATTCAAAAGTTCAGAACTATGAGTTTTTCTGTTTTTGAACTTGATATTGATGTGTGATGTATAACTGCCTATTTACTTGTTTAATACTCTGTACCTGACCTGACTTGGGGGTTGGGGGAAATATGAAAGTGTAGGTATTAGACCAATGACAATGAAGAATTGGAATTTAGTGAATAAAAGGGAGTTTTGACTAAACAAACCTTCAATGGAGAACTTCATAAGGTGTTCAACTAAATCATTCAATACAAGATTTTGATTACGTTCCTTCTCAATGTAACTAACAAACCTTCTGGCTACTACTCCCTGTTCATTTCTATAGGTTTCTAATAATTTTGGATTCAATAATGTATTGATGCCTCCCCTGAATTTGTACCACTCTTCTCCATTTGCTGGAACAACACCAACACTGCTAAATACTTTCTTTCTGTAATGCCATAATGCAGCAAATGGGGGCCTAATTGGTTTAACTCCTTCATTTCGAAAAAGTGTTTCTGTATTATTAGCATCAGTGGTGATTACAAGAGTGCTTCCACCAAGATTCAATTTGAAAATAGGTCCCAGCTGTTTGCTAATGTCTGCTACTGCTTCTGTTAATCTCTCAGATTTGTATTTTCCTGTGAAAATATTTTTCTTTGTATTATATTTTTCTTCATAGATCAGCAGACATACCACCTGGTAAGAATAAATATGTATGACCTATCAATGGTAATGATTTAAAAGTTGGAATATCTGCTAAAGATTTCACAGAGTTTTTTGCAAAGTTCATGTTTTGGATAAGCAAGTCCAGAAGAATGGAACCATATGCAAGTTTATTTGCTGTTTTCCTCGAGGTTTTCCTGCTTTCATCACAAATCAAAATCACTTTAATGTAACTTGATGTAGTCACAGTATGTAGTACAGTTCACTAGATTTTTCTCCATTTATTTAGCAGACAAGACAATGTACTTGACTATCCCTGGAACCTACTATTCTTTGCCTGAGCCCTGAGTGCTAGCTGCTGAGAGCTCTGACAATAATAAAATCCTTCCAACAACCAGCAACCTATGGCTCCTATGAGGCTCTGAGAGTAGTATGAGTGAGATGTTTTATAAACTCAATCTCAGCTACTTAAGTAGAGAGTATAGATTGTCTATGGTAAGAGTATTGAGTATGAAGATGTCTGAGCAATGAGCCACGCCACATTGAGCCCTGCCCCCTTATCCACAGTGATGAGGGTATTCTGATATTTCTGATATTTCTGATATTGTGATTTCTGATATTCTGAACGAAATTATAACCTATAAAAAACACAAAACCGGCAAAGAATATAGGTCTCCTCTTTGAAACCGGTGTCGGAAGGATGGGGTAGGCGATAGTGTTTTCGGATGATCGATTATCGATAATCACAATGAATCGATATCAGAATTGTCGATATTATCGAAATTATAGATATGATCGTTATTATCGACAAATCTATGATTTTTTAAATGAAATTACCTGATGTGAGCCTGATCCAAAATGAAAGTAAAATTTTTATGTACGAAAACTAATCGAAATTTCATGATGTGGGTATTTTCCCATAAAAAAAAGCTTCAACCGTTACGTCACGTCATCTTAGTCACGTCTGAGATGTTTATAAGTTGACGTCACGTCGTAGGTCATAATATGGGGCAAATGTAATATTGCCTCCAATACTAACCAATTAAAGCAAAGGTCAACGTTTTCCTCTTTACACTGCTGTTTTCTTAGGCATATAGGAATGGATATTTTACTTCCATCATTGAATGGACTATATTAGAGAAACTGAATTATCTAACTAATACCATCCAGTGACTCTAGCACTCTAGACTATATGGGTGGGCGATTACAATGATTATCAATCAACGGATATTTCAAAAATTAATGAATATCATCGAAAATTTTATAGGTTATTATCGATATTATCGATGTTATCAATATTATCGTTATTATCAATATTATCGTTATTAATAATAATCGCTTTCGGGGATCAAGAAGAAAGAAAACCATACTTGAAAGCCTATATCACTATACAAATAGTGGGATGAAGCCATGCTATTAGTGGACCAGAATAATACTCCCTGGCCGAACTCAGCCTCCACAATTTTAGGTGACTAACCTATATTCTTTGATTTTATTGCGAAAAATATTCACAAAAAATTAAGGATTTCTACATATCTCGTGATGGGAATGGTTCTAAAGATTTGGCCACTTCTTCGACTTAAGAGCATCGAATACTTAACCGAGTACCCCATCACTAGTCGTGACACTCGATACGCTCGTGACCAACTTCAGCTCATTCACTATTTCAGTTTCAGATTTCAGCTCCTCTCATTTGTTAATCGTTAATCTGTGATCGAGGTGTCAACTTCTGAAGTTCTGAATAAGGTTCGTAGCTAGGTAATTTTTTATATCACATAATAATGTGAGGTGATTTTATTTATGTTTGTTCAGATACGTACATAGTCATAATGCATTCTATTCCTATACAATAATTATATACTAATATTGGTATTCTTTGATACCGCCTGACATTCGCCTGACCGCCTCCATTTACCATTTATGAAAAAAACAATTCACCACTTCTCTACTAGGTACAGTATTTATATTGATAATATACCATTGTTGATCTAAATTCATGGAGAAGCTAGTTAGTAAGGGAGAGGTATATTATATTATTATAATATATTATATTTTATACCTCTCGCCTACTAACAGTACTAACTAGCTTTTCCCCATTTAGATATACATAGTATAGTAAACTGAAAGTATTTATATCCAAGCCAGGCAAGAAGCTCACCTACTAGGTATTATTTTTTTTAAATCCATAATCAATATAGTGTCCAGAAACTGCCCCACCACAAATGGTTTTATTTGGATCTTACCAATTCCTATACAAATTTGCTTCCCAACCCTAATTAAACAATTGAGACCATAACAAAGGGGCCACAGGGGCTGAAACCTATCTTGTCTTGATATCTTCCAAATATGAAAAATATTAAACTTGCACATTATTTATCAATATGAAACTGGGACAATAAAACAAAAAAAAAAAAAGATCTATATGATTTCTGTTCTGCAGGTCCCAGATTCAGATAAACATGGACACATCTGGAGACATTCATGATTTCATCACTCAATTCCACAACTTATCAGGAGACTTGATAGGAGAACGAAAATGCAACTTCTACAAACTCATAAAAGATCCAGCTCTATTCTCCACTGAAGAACAGCTTAATGATGCTATAAAAGGGCTTAAACCAAGAACATACCTTGAAAGTCTATTAAAGGTGGATCTATTGATTTATTTCAAAAGGACAGCAGAACTGACTGAGATTCTCAAAGAGGGCAATGAAGTTTTCATAAGTAAAATAATGAAACAGCCTTGGTATTTTCAAGAAGCATTCAATAATCTGGATGCACATAGTTTAACCAATGAATTTTTACCCTGCATGTCTTATGCAATGAGAATGAAACTTTTAAAAAGGATATCATTTTGCTGGGATGAAGCCAAGATGGATGCTTTATTCGATGCATTATGTGAAAGGTAAGAATTAGTTATAATTAACAATATCTGGTCTGATATTTCTCATAAGGTATATGGTTACTGTATTTATTTCAATCAATAACTATTTTTTCCTAATGGGAAAGACCTCTGAGGCATGAAATCCATCCAAACCAATTTCAATTAGTGAATTCATGGGGTATGTTTCCTTTCCAAAGGTGGTTGTGGTTTGCCACTGGCTGAAACTGGTTAATTAGTGAACATGATTCCTGAAAGATGGTTACTCATATGTTGCCAGAGGAAACAGCTGACCATGATTTACATTCAATGTACAATGTATATGCATATGTAATTGGGGTTGTACACACTAGTCAAATTTACACCACATACCTATTCTATATTGATCATTCTCTGTATAAATAGTATTTGATGCAATCATTTGTTATTCAAAGTCACCACAAATATATTTTTATTAAAATTTGTAACTAGTAATCACCTTAAGAGATTCAATATGACCAATGACAATACTAATCCAGAAGACAATAGTCTGACCTGGTCCCTAATAAACTTATTGAATACTAATATACTTGCAAGATGCTTATATAAATATCCTAGTATTTATTTCTGATAATGATTTAATCCCAAATTATTTTGTGGCATGGGCAAAAGTGTGATGCATCATCAAATCTGATCAAATCCTTGTTTGATCTTGTCAAGATAGGAATGTTCAAAGATAAACACCTCATAATCAGATTCTTCAGTTGTGTATTGTATCCTCTGTTATCAGCAGTAAGTATTCAATCCAGAAAATTATAGTTCATCCAAAAACAATGGCAGAATCTCGTGCTGCACAGTGCCGGATATTCTGCAATGGGAAAGTTTCCTATATTGAGGTTCTCATCTCACTGTGAGGTTTGGAAAAAATTAATATTTACATTTATTTCATCTTTTTTTCGTAAGATCAAATTTAACTTCGGAAAAAAATAAATAAAAGAGGAACTTAACTCCTCCACCATTCCTATGACGTACTTTTTGAAAATCCACATTCTCACAGAGCTAAAATACCATTCCCTGTGCCAGTACCACGTTTCCGACATCATCAATATGTCTAGATTTCCAGAAATTCTTCTTTGAATGCATAATAACTATCATAACAGCAATGGGATATAATAGGTTCTTCAATCATACTTTGTCAAGTATTATGAATAACTCCCATAAATCCCATAAATTGGCTGAATGAAGTTGATTACTAATGAAGATAAATTATTATATTTCGCGATAGTATCTATAAATTTTCACTATCGTTATATTATAAAATGTTATTCATATCTTTTCAGTCATTTTTTTGCTAATGAACTCGGTCCTTTATAAAACGGCTCTATTGTCTAAGAAAGTTGCAGATTATATCTTGCAACAGCGCCTATTAGTTTGAGTCCGTCCACACCACTCAAAATACTGACAGGCCAGTGTTGTCAAAAAGGTAAAAACCAAAGAGAAGAAAATTCAGTGTGAAACCAGCCACGACTTCGCCAAATATTCCAGGCGCGCGCCATACCACCAATGGTCGATTATTACTGATTTAGGTATATTCATGGCTGGCCATGAAATTACTAAAGCCTCCAAAATTTGTCCGTGGATGAAACTATTTTCCATCAATGTATTCCTCTAAGGATTCTTAATAACCTATATCTCACGATAATTTGCCGGGCCAGAATTAACCCCACAGGCCCCCTTTATCAGAATTTCGAAAAAAAAATCATAACTTTTTCGAAATACACGTGGATGGGAATTTTTTCTATGAATGTGTTCCAATAATGGTATCAGAAAAACACATTCATGAAAAAACTTCCATCCACGAGTATTTTGAAAAAATTATGATTTGTTTTTTCGAAATTCCAAAAATGTGATCCTGTGGGGTTAATTCTTGCCCGACAAAATATTGTGAGATATACGCATTATTAAGAACCTCAATGTATTCCTATTGATGGAAAATAGTTTCATCCACAGACATATTTTGGAGGTTTTAGTAATTTCATAACAATCCACGAATATAAATTAGTAATAAACGTCCATTGATGGTATGGCGCGCGCCTGGAATATTTGGCGAAGTCGTGGCTCGAACTCGTGGCTGGTTTCACACTGATAAAAATCAATTGTTACTTAATCAATCATTATACAAAAAAACATTTGAAGAAATTGATTCGTTTGAACTTTTGTACATTGGTCAATTCAAGCCAGTAAAAAAGCGGCAATATATTTATATA